CAATCCTCATCCGTGGAGGTCCGGTTTAGAATTGATCTTCAGTAACCCATGCTTGTCGTAAGAGGCGACTAACGGGATCTGGTGGTCAGGCTCGCTGACTTTGTTGACACATGTCATCGTATACCAATTGCGTAGAACGAGGCTCATGGTGTTGATCACTGGATTGTCTGGTCCAGACTCGATTATTCACAGACTGCCGCCATATAGCTGGAATATTGCTGAGTGCGGCGTAAAACTAAACTCACTCCCACATGTCATAACTACGTGTACATCTTATAATATGAATATAATACAACCACATTGATTGTTAGGGGTTGGTGGGTTTTGTTTTGATTTTTGATTTTAGTTTATTTTATATTTTTTTATATTTTGTGGGGCGGGGCTTTGGGGGGGGACGTGGTGGTGGTTTTTTGTGTTAGTTTACAAGTGGACAGTTTGATTAAACCATGTGTTTGTCACCTTCGAGTTGTGGTTTACGCCGCTTTTATCAATATTCCAGCAATATCACGGCGGGGAACACCAGAAATGGGTTTCACACGTTGTACCCATGTGGGGAATAGATCCCGGACCTTCGCCGTGACGAGGTATCGCTTTAACCACAAGACTACCCCACGGGGAAGGGAAAACGCAGTTAAAGCAGTGGGTACTTTGGGTATTACGGGTAGCGGTACCTGGTTCTGACAATCAGATTTCTAAACGTACGTTATTTTAATCCCTTCCCCAGGCGCCGAGAACTGCGGTGGCTGGGAACACAAGAACGGGCAGTACGGGATGAACGATGTCCCCTGTGACATGGACTGGAGCTATGTGTGCCAGTATGGTAGGTGGCATATACGCGACCATTGCATGTGTCATATTATATGTCAGCGTTGTAGGTATTATGTGTGCCAGTTGTCAGGATGTTATACATTGTCGTAAGAGGCGACTAACGGGATAGGGTGGTCAGGCTCGCTGACTTGGTTGACACATCGGTTCCCAATTATGCAGATCGATGCTCATGCTGTTGATCACTGGATTATTTACAGACCGCCGCCATATAGCTGGAATATTGCTGAGTGCGGCGTTAACTTAAACTCACTCACTCACTCAGGATGTTATACATGCCAGTGTGTTAGACGTTCTACTGACCAGTATGGAACGGTCCCATGAAGATCCGGGTTAGATTGATCTTCAAACTATGCTTGCCGTAAGCGGCCACTAACGGGATCGGGTGGTCAGGCTCGCTGCCTTGGTTGACACACGTCATCGTATCCTAGTTGCGTAGATCGACGCCCATTCTGTTGATCACTGGATTGTCTGGTCCATGCTCGATAATTTACCAACCACCGCCATGCAGCTGAAATATTGCTAAGAGCGGTGTTTGCACAACAAACCAACCAAAAGGGCCGTTGTAATAGAGGTCATTCCTGTATGTGTTAGTGCCTCCAGTATGGGTGTGCCATTTGAAACACGAAGTAAATCTATGTGTGTAAAGTACGATATGTGTCAGCAAGAAAATAATTGACATGTAAGTTTTTTAGTGGCCTGCGCGCTTTTTCAAATATGGAGTAGGCTCCCTTTTGGACAATGTGGGCGATTACGCACAGTGATTTCAGGTTTCAATCTCAGTTGGAAGTTTGATAGTATCCTTGAATTTGCAACATGTATGATGTTATCGTGTGTCGTAGTGGGGCTGTTTGTTTGGGAGTTACGGTTGCGAGAAGGGCGGGGATATGAGTCGACTATTTCTATGTATTTTTGAAGACGAAATCTTGTGAATGCGATTGCAACGTGCGTAAATTAATTACCCATGCTTTCTTGGCCCGCGGTTCAATAAGGGACCGTTATGGCTTTTGGGTGGGTGGGTGTGTGTATGTGTGTGGGTGTGTGGGTGGGTGGGTGGGTGTTCTTTGGGTTGTTTGTGCCCATTCACATTGTACATGCTTCTCAATAAAAATCATCATCCTTTCCCCACCCCCAACCCCGCCATATATTATGATCGGTCCCTAATGCCGGTTGTATCGATACAACGTTTTTACGCATGAATCATCTTCCAGGTTTACGAAACCGAAGTGAATTTAAGTGCCTCAGAACGATAACAGATTTACAACTTAAGAAGTACACTTCATGAGTTTATCCCTTTTCCGTGACAAAAGCTGAATTTGGAACTAAGCACTTGGTTATTGTTGAATTTATCCTCCGGAAAACCTACTGACACTCAGCGATTTCTTGTCTACGAAAAGAGTGACTGAATGACTTGGTTTTACACCGGGTTTTTTTCCAATAATTCAACAATATCACGACGGGGACATAAGATGGAAGTTTAAAAGTTACTTACCTAAAGTGGCTTTGTTTTTGTCTAAGTCCGGTTGTCATTTTTTATGTAATGGAATGATACTAACAAGTTCTCAGGAAAAACACGTCTCCTGACTGCTTAAAATATTCACCAAAATATTATCAACTGCATCCAATTTCGTGTTTTCTGTTATCTATCTCCTGTTTTTAGGGTGTTGTCTGAAATGTCTCCTAATATAACTTGTAGGTCTTCAGTTTCATACAGAGACGTATAACATGTATAATATTATGCACAATAACCAATATCGATAGGGTTAGGTGAGCGTGGTGGACTTGAGACTTGCCTCACAACATCCAGATTCCTTTCTTTCTTTCGTGGTCGCTTGGAGTCCATATTGTTTTTGTAAAGACCGGTTTACGTATTGTATGCATGGGAGTAAAATGTATCCCTCTCTTGCAGGCTCATACGTGTACTCCTTGTGGTGACGTCACGGAGACCACAGCCTGTATCCAGCTTCACGAAGATATATCAGCGATACCACTGTCTCAGTTCCCATAGTTAATATTAAATTTACTCCAGAAGCATCTACGCTATTATACAACTTTTAATACAAAAAAGCAGCAGTAGCGGAGAGGATTGTGTGCAAGAGTCCGTTCCTTGACTACATCAGAATACTGTAGCTGGGGCTGAAGGACGACAATGCCTCCATGTATAATCAGGGTCTTTTAACGTTGTTGTTGTTGATGATGTTTGTTCTTGTTTTAATTTAAACGTGCTCTTAACATTTAGTCTGCAAGGGGAATTTGTTAAACCTACTCCGTAGCACATCATATAATGATTTAAAACACATAAAGTGTTCAGGTGTTGCCAAAAACGAACACGTATTTGGAATTTTCCGATCCAACTGAAGTCGGATCTTTTACCTCTCAGCGTGAACATTTGACACCTCATGCAAAGTTCATGTCATTGTTGCCTGAATGAACTCTGGCCGACCAGGATGTAAAGATCCTAAATACAGTGGTGCAACTTTTATTTTTTACATTCGGAACTATTTATTTTCAAGTTTGAGACGTCAGATTTGCTCTTCTGGTAAATTGGGTCCTGGACCTTGATGAGAAACTCCACTTGATGTGAACTCCGATAGAATGGTCATACGATCTTCACTTTTCTTTTACTTAAATTGTTAATTGTCCATAACCATTTCACTCCTCTCGATCTAATTGGAACACGACCAGCACTGTCAAGAATACGTATTGGAATTTGTTTTGTGCACGTGACACAACACAAACTGTTTACAGTATCTACTATCAAGACATACATAACTGTTCGAGACATGGGCTAGAGACAGGAAGTATCCGTCAACCACTGAGGCTTTGACTCTGGGGAGTCTTCTTCAGTATCAGAGCTCCAGTGGGGGAACACCAATCAGGCTGTGACCCGTTGGGGGAGTCTACAGTGTCGGAAACTTTCTGGAGAACGAATGAAAACAGATCCGGAACATGAATATACTTTATTAAAGTCAACATGCAAGAAACAAAGCAGCAGAAAGGGAACATGTGGTCTTAACAACAAATAACCGCTAACATATACACTTAGATAAAGGTGCAGCAAGACCTTCAATCTAGTCATTTCTAAAGGAGCGTCCGCGTCTTGATTTTTGGCCAAACATTTGTTTTTGTTTACAGAGTGGCCGTTTCGTATTGAAATCAAGGCTCTTGTACCTACTTTCTACAAGCACCAGAGGTATAAGATGTATATTTGTGGAAATGTGATTAACGATATTTGCAGATATTTCCAAAAGACGCATAAAGAACGGATATATATAATACAATGAATGCTGAGCTTTATTCCAGGGATATCTGAATCTGGAAAACGCGGCCATGTTCACTATTCCTTCAGATAGGAATCTTATATGATTGAAGGTCCTACACATATAGATAGGATAACATGAAGTAGAGTTGCGTCCCTTGTCACAGCGAATGTATTTTTATCATGTTTTGTCCTTGTGTTAGGTGACTAAATTCTATATTCATGCACGTATATGGCAGCACTAGCAGTACCAAGGCAACGAACTTGTATGTTCTCTTAATTATTTATGTAGATGTGATAATAAATTCATTACATGTATTTACATTGAGGTATGTGTCGTGACGTGAGTTTTTAATCTTTTTGAACTTGGTATTATTTCTTTTCAGAGAATTCCGACCTTTCAATTGTCACGTGTTCATTGGTCATCCTGTCATGTTATTGTGCTACACTGACTTTGTTGTCGTGTTGTGTAGTTTGTTTATTGCTAATAAAGACAGTTTTCTCTTTTTATCGTTTGTCTGGAAAGTCTGATGTTTTTAAGGCATTAAATATAAAACCTCTAGTGGCAAATAACAAAGTGTATTTTGAGGGTGTATAATTTGACCTATTAGTTGAAATAAGCACCGATGAAAACATACTACCCCTCCTTAAATCTCCGCGAATATCTTCAATATAGCTGATTAGGCATTTCCGGGTTTATGCCTGGTTGTTTGTATCAAAGCATGGTTTACAGTTATTTATATTTTTAAGTAGTAGATTACCTGTTGCTGTCAGTTATTACCATTTTTCAGGTTAAAGTCTTGTTTGTATAACGTGTAGAGGGGGGAGAGGAGTGAGTATGGTTTTACGCCTCTTTTAGCAACATTCCAGCAATATCACTGAAGGTGACACCAGAAATGGGCTTCACACATTGCACCAATGTGGGGAATAGACCCCCGGTCTTCAGCGTGACGAGCAAACGCTTTAACCATTAGGCTACCCCACCGCCCCTTAAACTGAAGGAACAGGCTTATGGACTCCAGAGTGTTCAAACATACCAATTCTCTTTACATTTGACTGCATTAACCACTTCTCCCCAGCCTTCATATTATTTTGATTCAACGTGGAGTTTGGATGGGAATGTCAAACCTTAAATATCATAGATGGACATGCTGAAGGTCATGCTGAAGGTCATGCCACGACCTCCTTACAAGCCAGGCCACATGGCAAACATAACTGTAAAAGAATAACCCTTAACATGTACATATATATGTGTGGTTTCTCTGACAACTAGATTACAAAATACATATATTTGCTAACAAGTTTGCTTTCTGCTGTCCAATTACAAAGTGCCAAAAAATTCCCATGTGTCAATATTTTCCTGATGTTAATGGTTTGTTGTTTTATCCTGGTCATTTATGTAAGTTCCTGGCTTTCTTGTATTCTGATAAAGTTAAAAATGGTAATGAAAACGAAATATTAAATACCCCACTGTGAAATTAATGAGAACGATGACTGACGATCCATTAATTAAAATATATTGACTATTAACCTGTACAACCTTATGTCTGTTTGCTAGGACCAGGAATTGATCACCATAACTCCACATATCTTAGAGATGATAAAACTGAACCAGTCTGACAGATAAACTTTAATGTTTGGATGTTCCCTAACTGAATGGTGTCTTTTAGTCTATAGAACTTCCAGTGAACAAGGTACATTTTGTATATATAAGAAATTTTGTCATCCCTTTTCATTTTGAATATCACCATAACCATCAACTTAGGAAAAAGAACAATAACAGGTTTAACCAAAATAGTCACAGTTTCAACAACTTGTGGGACACATGATACTCACTGGCACCACAAAACACAACATGTATATAGTCATTATACAAACATATCAAATTAGGGCAAGAGTCAGTCACAGCTGGGACCAGTCATTAATGAGAGATGTCAAAGTTTGGGGTATCGGTATGTCTGCCAGAACTAGTCAGGGCAATGATTCAAGGATGATCTTAAAGAACAAATGCACCGTCAGTGCAGGCTTGGTTATATTTTTCAAAAGACAGAACTATTCATCTTGCACAATGGAAAACATCCCCTGTTGTAGTTAATGACTGGTCCCTCATATGTAATGATAATTGATAAACATAACATAAAGTATATAGTATATACCATGAGTGAACTGTCGACTAAATGACGTTATTTTTCAACAATGAACAAGAACATGTACGTGAAAGAAGTCATGACATATTCCATACGCCTACCTTCATCCATCTCTGACCAACCATCAGACAGAAGTTCATCCTTCAGGCCAGCCAACTTCAGAAACCTTTAACTGTACCAGATCATACTTACCCTCATTAAAAAGAAGCAGCCTGGTAATTTATTACAATTCATACCATCATCCATCCTTTCTGTAATATTGGTGTTTCTTCCCAAACTGTTTCCTCACAACTGACCAAAACAAATGTTGATGGAATTGACAAAGCCATACATCTAAACAAATAGGCCTACTTGGCATAACAGAACAATTTCAGTTATAATCTCAGTGAGATGAAACACAAAAATACAGAATGTTTCTCTGATTATGTGTGGTCAAAGCTATGAAAATATGATGGCATTGTTTCATGTATATCTTTTCTTTTTTCTGTTGCTGATTATTAGATTTAAAACTAATTGATAGTGTCTGGGAATACATGACCAATAACAATCGCAGAGGAAAACATCATACTTTGGAATCAACAAGTCCTCTTGGAATTAACTCTAATATTCTCATCAAAACCATTTCCTTGGTGATAAAATAAACTTTCATTGACCAAATCTTTCTTCATTACAAACAAAAACAGAAACAATGATGGAAAAAATATGCTCAACTACGAAATTTCCACTCCCCTTATGGCCTTTCCAATTCCTACCCTTTCAATATATAACTTTTCCAATTTCTTCCCTTTCAGAATATGGCTTTCCAATTCCTACTTTTTTTCAATACATAGCTACTATTTCTAAAACTCTCTTGTTCGCTTTCAATATCTGGCTTTTCCAATTCCTACTCTTTCAATATCTGGCTCTTCCATTGCTACCATTTCTGTACATAGCTTTTCCACTCTCCACATTCCCATACATAGGTTTTCATCTTGACCATTCCATATATGTTTTTATTCATCCATTTCCATCTTTGACTGTAAGCTCCTCCCACCACCACACATTGTTGTCCACTCCACCCACTCCATATTTTCTTTTTCTCGCCTTCACATGTCTCTTTTTCATATCTGAGACAGTTAGAGCCATATTTGTCAAATTTCATAACAAGTGTTCATCTCCATATATGGTTGCTTCATTTAAGTGTTCACTTCCATATATGGTATTGTCCAGGTTTCGATCATGTCCCTGTATGGACGGACAGCCAGGCAAGCATCATGTCCAAATGCATCCACTTCATCATCACACCAAGTTAAAAGCAGATGAAAAGATCACCCATGTAAAAAAAATGTCATCAAGATTTGGCTCCAGTGTATTGCAGTTTGAATATAATATTGAATGAAGTTTCAGTTCAGCATGAAAATTGTTCCCGAATCTAGAGTTCCAGATTGGAGACCGTACATCTGCTGCTGTCACAACCAATGGAGAAAACACGGAGCTGATTCTCTTGAACTTTAATCATTGCTTGGCTCGAGTTCGGAGTGACCTTGAAAGAAGGTCATCACCATGGATTAATCTCCCAATGGAATCACCACACAGAGCACTTTTTTGTCGGGTTCATGCGACTTCCCACTGGACAATTGTAGGCTTCAGCAAAGTCAAGTGAGTTGGAGAGTGGACCAAGGATCCGGAGAGGTCCAGGACTGTGGACTGCTGTGCGGATCTTGTGGAGAGCTTCTTCATCTCGCATCTTCCCACACCAAATCTGGGAAGGCAACGTATTAGTAAACAAAACAACTTGTGAACATGATTTGGCATCAAATCAAATCAACCAGAAGATGTGACTGTTTACACTGTTATGAAAATGCAAATGGATTGCCCAACACAAACAGATCTTAATATCCCAAGAACACAGAAAGAAGAATGAACTTTTATTGACATGATTTTGTCAATTGCTTTGTAAATGTCTACAAGAAAATTACCCAAAAGACATAGGATTTTAAAGGTGAACTCATGATTGTAAATTTCAGCTCAAAGCAGCTCTTTGTGTGAAATCTGAATGCTCATCTGAAGTTCCTGATGACTTGCAAGCCCATTGCCAAATAAGTCTACTGCCACATTGGCCCATTGCCATGTAGGTCCACTGCCACATGGGCAGTGACTTAGGCCCACTGCCACATTGGCCCACTGCCATATGGGCCCATTGCCACATTGGCCCACTGCCATATGGGCCCATTGCCACATTGTCCCATTGCCATATGTCCACTACCACATGGGTCCACTGCCATATAGGGCCATTGCCACATAGGTCCATTGCCACATTGGCCCACTGCCATCTCTAAAACATAATGATTCAAACCCACCCACCCCCACCACCCCCTATCATGTCTTTAAAACTGCTTTCACTCTGGATTGACCTGTGAAGCACTTACCTGAGCATAGTTTAGGAAGAAGAGCTGGTTATGACTGAGTCCGATCCCCGGGAGAAGCTGCTCCTCTCCATGTTCCTGCACCCACTTCCTGTAGGCCTACACCAGGAACACAGATCATGTGACTATTGACAGTTTGGGACTATAAGTCACTCAAACACTGCAAGTTAGTGAGAGAGAGTGTGGTTTGATGCCACTTTCAGCAATATTCCAGCAACATCATAGCACGAGAAACCAGAAATTGGCTTTCTACACATCCTTCGCATGTAGTGACTCAAACCCAGGTTTAGGGCAAGATGAGCTAACACTTTAACCATTAGGCCACCCCACCCCAAGTTATATCAGTGAATGCAAAAACATTTAAAACATCTACTTTAATTTTACAATTGTTTGAAATAAAGAAAAGATGTATAGCCTTTGAATCATAATTATCAGAACATCACGGACTCGAAATAGATTTCTCTTAAAACACCGAACATGGAAATCTTGTCAAAAATTGCAAGTCATAAAGTTTGTGATATGTAAGAGTAAAGAAGCATCTCTTTTCCTGGTGACTATTACATCAACTTTAATCACTGGGTTCATTAAAGGCTTTTTTGTACAAAAATAGACATCAAGCAAATATATTTCACTGACTGGCAGTAAATATGGCAGGATGGGACAACATTGTACTGTACTTTTCCTTCATCCCTATAACTCATCATGGAAAATGGGATAAGCTGGTATTTGCAGGACAGGAATCAAGCCTGGTATCTATTGTAAAGGGAAGCAACTCACTCTGTATGCTTGTTTCAGTCCTCCATTATCAGCGATGTTCTCACCCTGGGTGTTCTTGCCATCGAGCTGAAAATACAAACAGAATTATGGTAATATAACACTGAGCAGTTGTATCAGTGGTTGGTAAAGCCCTAGCTGTTGGCAGTATCCATGGAAACAATCCAGATAATTTACTTGCTTGGTACCTACATACTGCCATCAAGGAGTTATTCTTGAGTTTTGGCGGGGTCAGGGAAGGGGTGGCAGTGTTGACATTTTGCTTTCTTTACTTATTGACATAGGTATACAAAGCTCTTGGTAACCTGTATATCTGCACGGAACACTGCATACAGTTTTGCATAACCCACTTTATTTTGTTTTCAAATGCTACTCACAAACATCCCGATCTGCTCCAGCTGGTAGCCAGAATACTGGTTGATCATACACTGAGCCTGGTTGCGGAACGCCTGGATGGTGTCCTCATCCCACCACTGCTTCAGGTTACCATCTTTGTCATACTGACGTCCTACAGCAGAATAATGTCACATGGCATTGTGTTTGACTGAAGGTCTCTTTGAAATAGATCCAATTGATGGACATATTTAGTGTCATGCCTAGTGATGTTCCAATGATCGAAAATCGATCGAAAGAAGGATTAAACATGATTATCGATTGTAAAAAACATATTTTCGATTAATCAGAATTTTGTTGTTTTTGTATAACACCCTTGAATGAAGTAAACTAACCATCAAATTTGACTATGTTTTCCAATTCCCAACACCAGTCATGCCCTTCAAAGCCAAATGAAAACAAATCTGGTTAAGAAGGTTGCACTTTATGACCACATTATTGTTTCATCCAAGTATCTGGCAAACTGGGAATCTCAGCAACTTGATTCATGTCCGACAGTCTCCAGTTTGTTTGTCTGCTTGTTCAGTTTATTGTGTACAGTCAACAAGTTATGGCTTTGTTGAATTACAAAATGACGATGTCAAAGTTTCACAAATGGAAAAAAAAATCAAATCAAACTTGGAACAAAAAAATGAAAAAGATGGTGGAGTTGTTTCAATACAGAAAACATTGCTGTGATGAAAATTTCAAATACCTTTGTCATCAAATCCATGAGTTATTTCATGTCCGATCACCACACCAATACCTCCATAGTTGAGTGACCTGCAACAAGAAAACTATCTGTCACACATCTTCAGAATAATAACAAGGACAATTCTTATAATTCAACAAAATATGCTCAGAGCTGGAAACTGACATTAAAAGGAGTCAAGAAGCTGAGTGGTCGAACAAAAATGGTGACAAATGGGGACGACAGAAAATCTTCACTTGATTATATCAAGTAATGGGGCTGGAAGCCGATGTACAAAGTGATCTTAGCGCTAAGGGGACCATAACTTCCTTACCATCACATAGACTTACTACAGCCTTAGAGTAAGGTGACCATAACTTCCTTACCATCACATAGACTTACTACAGCCTTAGCGCCAAGGTGACCATAACTTCCATACCATCACATAGACTTACTACAGCCTTAGAGTAAGGTGACCATAACTTCCTTACCATCACATAGACTTACTACAGCCTTAGCTCTAAGGTGACCATAACTTCCATACCATCACATAGACTTACTATAGCCTTAGAGTAAGGTGACCATAACTTCCATACCATCACATAGACTTACTATAGCCTTAGCGCTAAGGGGACCATAACTTCCATACCATCACATAGACTTACTACAGCCTTAGAGTAAGGTGACCATAACTTCCTTACCATCACATAGACTTACTACAGCCTTAGCGATAAGGGGACCATAACTTCCTTACCATCACATAGACTTACTACAGCCTTAGCTCTAAGGGGACCATAACTTCCATACCATCACATAGACTTACTACAGCCTTAGAGTAAGGTGACCATAACTTCCATACCATCACATAGACTTACTACAGCCTTAGCGCTAAGGTGACCATAACTTCCATACCATCACATAGACTTACTACAGCCTTAGAGTAAGGTGACCATAACTACCTTACCATCATATAGACTTACTACAGCCTTAGCGCTAAGGTGACCATAACTTCCATACCATCACATAGACTTACTACAGCCTTAGCGCTAAGAGGACCATTACTTCCTTACCATCACATAGACTTACTATAGCCTTAGCGCTAAGGGGACCATAACTTCCTTACCATCACATAGACTTACTACAGCCTTAGCGCTAAGGGGACCATAACTTCCTTACCATCACATAGACTTACTATAGCCTTAGCGCTAAGGGGACCATAACTTCCTTACCATCACATAGACTTACTACAGCCTTAGCGCTAAGGGGACCATAACTTCCATACCATCACATAGACTTACTACAGCCTTAGCGATAAGGGGACGATAACTTCCTTACCATCACATAGACTTACTACAGCCTTAGCGCTAAGGGGACCATAACTTCCTTACCATCACATAGACTTACTACAGCCTTAGTGCTAAGGGGACCATAACTTCCATACCATGACATAGACTTACTACAGCCTTAGCGATAAGGGGACCATAACTTCCTTACCATCACATAGACTTACTACAGCCTTAGCTAGCGCTAAAGGGGACCATAACTTCCTTACCATCACATAGACTTACTATGGCCTTAGCTAAAGGGGACCATAACTTCCTTACCATCACATAGACTTACTACAGCCTTAGCGCTAAGGGGACCATAACTTCCTTACCATCACATAGACTTACTATAGCCTTAGCTCTAAGGGGACCATAACTTCCATACCATCACATAGACTTACTATAGCCTTAGCGCTAAGGGGACCATAACTTCCTTACCATCACATAGACTTACTATAGCCTTAGCGCTAAGGGGACCATAACTTCCATACCATCACATAGACTTACTACAGCCTTAGCTAAGGGGACCATAACTTCCATACCATCACATAGACTTACTACAGCCTTAGCGATAAGGGGACCATAACTTCCTTACCATCACATAGACTTACTACAGCCTTAGCGCTAAGGGGACCATAACTTCCATACCATCACATAGACTTACTATAGCCTTAGCGATAAGGGGACCATAACTTCCTTACCATCACATAGACTTACTACAGCCTTAACGCTAAGGGGACCATAACTTCCTTACCATCACATAGACTTACTACAGCCTTAGCGCTACGGTGACCATAACTTCCTTACCATCACATAGACTTACTACAGCCTTAGCTCTAAGGGGACCTTAACTTCCTTACCATCACATAGACTTACTACAGCCTTAACGCTAAGGGGACCATAACTTCCTTACCATCACATAGACTTACTACAGCCTTAGCGATAAGGGGACCATAACTTCCATACCATCACATAGACTTACTACAGCCTTAGAGTAAGGTGACCATAACTTCCATACCATCACATAGACTTACTACAACCTTAGCGATAAGGTGACCATAACTTCCATACCATCACATAGACTTACTACAGCCTTAGAGTAAGGTGACCATAACTTCCTTACCATCACATAGACTTACTACAGCCTTAGCTAAAGGTGACCATAACTTCCATACCATCACATAGACTTACTTCACAGCCTTAGCTAAGAGGACCATTACTTCTTACCATCACATAGACTTACTATAGCCTTAGCTTAAGGGGACCATAACTTCCTTACCATCACATAGACTTACTACAGCCTTAGCTAAGGGGACCATAACTTCCTTACCATCACATAGACTTACTATAGCCTTAGCTAAAGGGGACCATAACTTCCTACCATCACATAGACTTACTACAGCCTTAGCTAAGGGACCATAACTTCCATACCATCACATAGACTTACTTACAGCCTTAGCTAAAGGGGACCATAACTTCCTTACCATCACATAGACTTACTACAGCCTTATGCTAAAGGGGACCATAACTTCCTTACCATCACATAGACTTACTATAGCCTTAGCTTAAGGGGACCATAACTTCCTTACCATCACATAGACTTACTACAGCCTTAGCTAAGGGGACCATAACTTCCATACCATCACATAGACTTACTTCACAGCCTTAGCTAAAGGGGACCATAACTTCCTTACCATCACATAGACTTACTACAGCCTTAGCGCTAAGGGGACCATAACTTCCTTACCATCACATAGACTTACTACAGCCTTAGTGCTAAGGGGACCATAACTTCCATACCATCACATAGACTTACTACAGCCTTAGCTCTAAGGGGACCATAACTTCCTTACCATCACATAGACTTACTACAGCCTTAGCGCTAAGGGGACCATAACTTCCTTACCATCACATAGACTTACTATAGCCTTAGCTCTAAGGGGACCATAACTTCCTTACCATCACATAGACTTACTACAGCCTTAGCTAAAGGGGACCATAACTTCCTTACCATCACATAGACTTACTATAGCCTTAGCTAAAGGGGACCATAACTTCCATACCATCACATAGACTTACTATAGCCTTTAGCTAAGGGGACCATAACTTCCTACCATCACATAGACTTACTATAGCCTTTTAGCTTAAGGGGACCATAACTTCCATACCATCACATAGACTTACCACAGCCTTAGCCTAAGGGGACCATAACTTCCATACCATCACATAGACTTCTACTACAGCCCTTAGCCAGGGGACCATAACTTCCTTACCATCACATAGACTTACTTCACAGCCTTAGCTTAAGGGACCATAACTTCCATACCATCACATAGACTTACTATAGCCTTAGCGCTAAGGGGACCATAACTTCCTTACCATCACATAGACTTACTACAGCCTTAGCTCTAAGGGGACCATAACTTCCTTACCATCACATAGACTTACTACAGCCTTAGCTTACGGTGACCATAACTTCCTTACTCATCACATAGACTGACTACAGCCTTAGCTTAAGGGGACCTTAACTTCCTTACCATCACATAGACTTACTACAGCCTTAGCTTATAAGGGGACCATAACTTCCTTACCATCACATAGACTTTACTACAGCCTTAGCTTAAGGGGACCATAACTTCCATACCATCACATAGACTTACTACAGCCTTAGAGTAAGGTGACCATAACTTCCATACCATCACATAGACTTAATACAGCCTTAGACTTTAGGTATACCTGGTAACTTCCATACCATCATATAGGACTTACTTTAGCGCTTCATCTAGGCAGCACTCAACTTCCCACCATCACATAGACTCTACTATAGCCTTAGCTTAAGGTGACCATAACTCATACCATCACATGGATCTTACTTGCAGCTCTGCCATGGTGAATCTTGGGCTTTACTTCCTTGGCCCATCACATACACCCTGCACTATAGCCTTAGCTACTATAGGGGACCATAAACTTCCTTTTACTCATCATAGACTTATCACAGCCTTAGCTGCCATAAATTCACAAACTTTACCATCACTTAGACTTTATTTATACTTCCAACTGGACCGGTATTTATCATCTTTAATGTTATTTAATTTAAAATTCGAAGCCGAGAATCTTATTTTATCTTTACGTAATATTTAAGCGGCCGGATGAGATCTATTTTTCTCCGAATTGAAAACGACGTTCGAATAACGAATGAAACCGATTACTTTATTTACATTTACTTTCGATCGACATTTACGACGGACGACGACATTCTTCTTTGATCGACATTTCTTCCTTTTCGACGACATCAATTCATTTTTTTTTTTATTTACTTTCGGACGACATATTTCGACGATCGACATTTCTTTCGACTTTCATTTACTTTTCTGCCGGATCGACGATCGATATTTTTCGATCGATCGATATTTTCGACATTTTCTACGACATTATTTTACGCTGACGACGACATTTCTTCGACGATTACTTAATTTCGACGATTCGATTTTCGATCGATCGACATTTGTTCTTTCGACGACGACATTTTCTACTGACGATTATTTTAGTCTTTATCTGATCGATCATTTTTTTCGATCGACGACATTTTCGATCGGTCGACATTCATTTCGATCGATCGACATTTTTCACTTTATTTATTTTTTTCGATCGACGATGACATTTCTTTCGATCGACGACATACGATTTATCGACATTATTTTCGACATTTTTCATCGATATTTATTTTTTCGGATCGACGGACATTTTTTCTACTGACATTATACTTTGTTTTAACGAGAGACATTTTTCGCCGACGACGACATTTTTCTGTTTATCGATATTTTTCGACGACGACATTTATCTTTATTTACTTTTTATCGATGATATTTTTTCGATCGACGATATTTGATGATCGACATTATTTTCGACATCGACGACGATATTTATTTTTCGATCGACGACATTTTTTACCGGACATTTTCTTTTTCGATCGATCGACATTTCGATCGACGATCGATCGACATTTTTTCGACGACGATTATTTTTCGATTTATCGATATCGATGATTTTTGATGACATGACGATTATTATTTCGACGATCGACATTTTTCGACGATGCTATTTCTTTTCTTGAAATTTTAACGAGATTACATTTTCGATCGACGATATTTTTTCTTTTTCTGTTTATCGACATTTTTTCTTTTTTCGACGATGACATTTTTCTACTTTATTTATTTCAGATCGATTTATTCGCCGGACGATTATGCCGATCGACGATATTTTATCGGACGATCGATCGACATTATCTTTCATCGATCGACATTTTTCGATCGACGACATTACGATCGATCGACATTTCTGATCGATCGATATTTTTTCATTTTTATTTATTTTTTTCGACGACGATGATATTTTTTCGATCGATCGACATGCTGATGATCGACATTTATTTTCGACATTTCTTTCGGACTGACATTTATTTTTATCGACGATGATTTTCGCATTGATTATTTATTTTCCTTTGATTTTAATCGATTAGATTATCTTTTCGAATCCATCTATCGCTCCTTCCCTCTCTCTATCCATCCATCCATCACTTTCTCTCTCCATCTATCCATTACTACCTCCCTCTATCCATCCATCCATCACTACCTCCCTCTCTCCATCCATCCATCACTTCCTCCACCCATCACTCCCTCCCTCTCTCCATCCATCCATCACTCCCCCCTCTCTCTCCATCCATCCATCACTCCCTCCCTCTCTCCCTCCATTCATCATTACCTCCCTCTCTCCATCCACCCATCACTCCCTCCACCCATCACTACCTCCCTCTCTCAATCCATCCATCACTCCCTCCCTCTCCCTCCATCCATCACTCTCTCTCTCCATCCATCCATCACTACCTCACTCTCTCCATCCATCCATCACTCCCTCCACCCATCACTACCTCCCTCTCTCATCTATCCATCATTCCATCTACCCATCACTCCCTCCACCCATCACTACCTCCCTCTCTCCATCCATCCATCACTCCCTCCACCCATCACTACCTCCCTCTCTCATCCATCCATCACTCCATCTACCATCACTCCCTCCACCCATCACTACCTCCCTCTCTCCATCCATCCATCACTCCCTCCTCTCCATGCATCCCTGCCTCCTTCTGTCCATTGAAAACTTCCTCCCTCCTCCACCCATATGTCCTGTCCTCCATTCATCCATCTCTCCATTGATCACTACCTCCATTTGTCCCTCCTTCACTCCCTTCCTTTCTCTTTCTCCCCCTCTCTCTCAACACCGTTGTAAGAGGGACAATAAATCACCATGGGATGTGATGATGCAAGGGAAGATACTTTAAAATACTTCCATGATAATTGAACTTACCTGGTAAACAGAATTCACAAAAAGATTACTAAATTGAATTTAGTCTAAATGTCTGATCAAACTTTATATTTAATTAATGTGCTGTCTGTTTCCAAAAACAAATGTTCAAAACAGGGACTGAAAATACACATCAAGAAAAGTATTTAAAACAGTGAAAAGACTGAAAGATTTCTAGGTTTGAAATACCAAAGTTTTTGTAGACTGCAGCACACAAAATCATTCCTTGTTCTTCTATCAGACTGATTGCTTTTTCATTGCATCTACAACATACCAATATCATTCCTGTTGGGATTGTAGAATGCATTCACAACGGCAGGGTCCTGCTCCCAACTGAAATTAGAGCATATAATCTAGTCATATAATAGGGAATCTTTTGGTGCGATAAATAAATCCAGTGAACAGGGTTTCAAGATCAGATAAATATGCAAATGAGGTCACCAAGAAGGAACTACTTTCCAGATTCACACATTAATGCAGTACCGTCACAACTGACTAAAGTTGTCCGTATTTTAAGGTTTCCCAAATATGGCTGAAGGCCATCTGACAAAGTATTATAATTAAGGCGTAAACATTCCCTCTGGATTATGGTTGCCTAATTCTGTGGTTTCCACAGACACATACAGAATGAAGTAAAAATTTTAACACTAAGTCATAGCTATCCCTAGTGGTATGCCTTTCCAACTGACAGAGTTACCTCCACTTGACCTAGATGTCACTGTATAGTAGTTTGAAAATCCTCACAAATTATAATTATAATTGGGCAGTTCACTTACATTCCATTCATGCCCTTTACCTGTCCTGTTATGTACCAAGTGGCATGAGCTGTACGTAGAAAAAGGATCTAAATTTGGTTTGACAATTGCTAAATACAACACTAACATTCACCCCTTCATCCCTCCACTGGATCTGCCAGTGCCATAGATATAATATACTACTCTAAAAACGGAAAGGCCAATCTGTTCCATGACATGACGGGTTACCTGTAGTAATATGAAAGAATCAGGTCGTTCAAAAATCCTCGTAATTTGAAATTTCTCTTTCTCGTTATTTTTGGTCATTCATGGGGTGCTTCTTTCAATATGAAATTGACTTACGTGTCTTTCCTGACTGGTTCACGCAGTTTCCTCATCATGTTGATGGCGCTGTATTCCTCCACGCGAAGAATGTTCTTGAAGTACTGCTGTGCATCAAACTGGACCTACACACAATCAGATTGCAAATAAGTAAATATTGGCTGTTTTTAGAAGTATTTGTTTCTTTAAATCTTTTCTATTTGCAATGATCAAGTATTCATTCACATAGGTAAGTGCAAATAGTCCAGAGCCCTTATACTTGAAACGTTCGTAGCCCTAAGTATTCTTAACTTTGATGGTAGCCAATGTGTAAAGAATGGGCTTAAGAAGTTTGTAGGGCTATGAACGTTTCAAGAATATCTAGCCTGATGTAACAAAAGTTTACTATTTTTCTCTCTCACTCACTGACTGAAGACGGTTCAATAAGCTGAATCTTTAAGTTCTTCAGGCTACTACTGCCTCTGAAGTGTAGTGGTTAGGGCTCAGACACAAAATGACTTTGATGGTGATAAAACAACAGGTTGGGGCAGAAGCTGAAAACTGGGACACAATTAGCTTTCCTCAACCAGCCAAAATAGGATAAGTTGGATTATCTCCCTTGATTCAGAATCATTTTCAATAAGGTTTTGACATCACAAGTCATTACTGATTCTCCCATTCCCAGCATGTATACATGCATGCATTCATGTACACACATATACAACACATGCAACCCCTCTATGCATGTACACCTCTGGTCTGTTTAGATTAAGTCCTCAAAATCAGTTAAATCTTTGAATGAGTGAGTGCGTTTAGTTTTACGCCGCACTCAGCAATAATCCAGCTATATGGCGGCGGTCTGTAAATAATCAAGTTTGAACCAGACAATCCAGTGATCAACAACATGAGCATCGATCTGCGCAATTGGGAACCAATGACATGTGGCAACCAAGTCAGCAAGACTGACCGACCGATCCCGTTAGTCGCCTCTTACGATAAGCATGTGTTACTGAAGACCAATATTCTAACCCAGACCTTCATGGGTAAATCTTAGAATGAACCCCGAACACCAACCTTATGTTAAGGTATGACTCATGGTGATGAAACACAGAGGCGAAGTTGCCAGGACATGTTCTTTATTCCTCTCACTTGAGTGTACACGACCACCACCATGCCGGCCGGCACATGGCTCATCACTGACAGCCTTGCGCATGCGTCTCATGCACAGCTACTCTCACTTCCTCCCCAGTACTCCAGACACCCACATGTACACATACATTAACACCTTACCCCACTGTGCCAGCAATGACAGGAAGAGATTATCCTGATCGTGTGTGAATGAGTCAATATTTCAGTCATTGTACTGGTGGACACTTACCTGGTTATACTTTTCATCCAGTTTCTTGCTGTCTTTGATGAAATCTGGGTACCCAATTCGTTCATTCATAGCATTGGCCTGAAGACAAGGTAATTATCATTATAACACTAATTATAATGAAAATAACGACATTTAGGGATAGTTACAGATTTCAAACAGAGTTCCAACTGAAGTCATATGTTCTTAACATCTGTGCACGCAGATTTACGATGTACAGTAAAGTCATCATGTCCTGAACTAATCATACACGTATGCTGATCCTTATATATACTTTTGTTTGATTGGGTAGATAAACCTGATTTTCAAGCAATTTATTTTAAATTACACACTGACATATTTAAGAGAGAAAATTAAGAATAGACATTTAAATTGTCATCCCTATAGAGAAACTTTTCTGAACATATACTACTAGATGCGCAATGATTTTAATGTTTTTATGCCAGTCAACTATCTGAGATTCTGTGTGCATTAGCCCCTGAGCAACACTTTAAACGTGACAGTTAGAATGACCAAATATATTTCAGGCCTTGATGAATGGGTGTTGGGGTGTTTTGTGCATTCATGTAACATTCTCAACTCTCTGGGGAGTACCTTCTGCTTAGCGAATGACTTGGTGATTTCATCCATCCAATGGTTCTCTTCCAGGAGTTCGTTGAAAGCTTCTCGGATGTCGTGGATCATCTCCAAAGCCTGTGCGAATACATGACAGTTAGGAATCAAATATTCAGCAACTTCAACAGGTTTAGGTCCAGTGTAACAACAATGGTCTAAGGTAATGTGACACACTATATAGAGTTATGTGACTTGGCCCCACAAGGATCTGCTGAATGCAGATCTGAATCGACATTCAACTTGACTATGATTGTTGGTGAATGATGTCAAAACAATACCTGTGTTCCTGAGTTTATGGACCTGGGTCCAGATGGTCCAGGTGCACAAAGCATTCGTAATGCTATAAATTATCCATAACCTTCTACTTCATCATTGGCTTTCAAATGGTATAGTGCTACGAAGTGTTGTGGAATTGCATCACTGTTGGTTGATCTCATACATAAAACTGATATAACCTGAGGGAAGAATGGAACACCACTTCATCAGTGTTCCTTTATGTATTTTTAGATTTTCATCCACAGTGCTAAACAAAGCTTGTGAAGAAACATGGAAAAGAATACTCGTGCTTATATGTGTCCCCTTATTTGTTTCCCTGAGTATACAATGATTTCATGAAAAAAATTCAAAGTTGACTTTGTGAGTCCAGTACATATCCTCCACCATACCGTGTCCTTGCTCTCCTTCTTAAAGTTGTCTCTGATGAACATACTGCCCACTGCCATGCCCATCCGCTTGTTGACATACTCCACACACTTCTGCCAGCGTATCTTGTCACGTTTCACACCCTGTGTTGAGTTGGAAAGGAAAATAATATCAAAGACAATTCTTGCTTTTCGGTCAAGGATAGAAGCTGCATAGCTAAGTCCTTTTCATGTAACATCATCCTCGAGTATCTCCAGGGTATACATTCCGATAAATCTCCACTATACCCTAGATGCATCTACGGCTCGGCCCGATAATTTTATTACCTCCCTTTGCTGGATCTGCATTCTCACAGTAGCCAATCAGATAAGCCGCCGTTACAACCGAGCTTGCCAGTGTCAACAAAGATAGCGGTCGCAGCCGTGAAAGTTTGTTCGCAGCGCAACTCAGATTTGGGGGGAAAACATACGGACAAAGTGACAGGTCTGAAACCTTAAACAAATATATGCAAGAACTCATTCTATTTCTTTCAGAGTACCTCTGCCAATATATTATAGTGTTGCAAAGTTTAATCAGTTAGATAATTTAAAAAGCGAAAGTTAATTGTGATTGGTACGCTCAACTTCCCAGCGTAGACACCTCATTGGATAAAAAGCCAACCATGATGATGCAGAAGAGGTGTCTGGGTGAGAAACCTAGTTCTGTTCTGTTTTATGTCAAATGGGAGGCCATGTGACCACATCGGGAGATGGTGGATGGTTGTGTTCGGAGGCGAGGGATGGATACGGAAAAGGGCCCCTGTGACTTTACACCTAAGAACTTAGGACTGCATCATAATTTGCTGACCCCCCAACCAACCCCTGCATAATGTAACATTTTTCCATGGCTCCCTACTCAATACATGTTACCTTTTTTCTCCCAATAATAAATGACTGCCTCTACTTCACTTCACCTGTCACAAATCCTCACCTAGACGAACGCTTAGTCTATGAATATACAAGCGAGTCTGGTAATTCTGAGCAGCTGCAATTACGTACTTCTATATCGAGGTAAACATCGTCTGCTACCACATTTATGCTTGAAATCGGGACATTTCTACAAGGGACTGGCTTTTAATCAGTATAGGTAAGTAAATAACAGTAATTGACAGATAAATTGACAGTTTTATGAAAATTCGTTTTCTTCAGACTTTTAAACCTTTTTCTTCATTATTCATAATTGGATTTAATATGAAACACTATTCCTTACATTGATGAAGTGATTTTTTAAAATAATCTGGCCCTAATACGCTTCCCTACTTCGGATCTCCAGCTGGATGTTATGCGCATCAGTTGCTGCGCAGAATTACCGGACAGCAAGCGATGTCGTCAGAATGCCGGTTAGGTCAACCGTATGGCATAATGCAACGTTTGAATCTTATAGTTGTCAATAAAACTAGGTAAATATGATGCATACCAGCATGTTTAGTCACGTAAACCACAAAAAATAAGAGATGATAGTTGCCGTGTTGCGATCGATGTGCTTAGGTGCACATTGTATATAATTTGATAGTAACAAACAAACCCATTTAATCTGAAAAGCCAGGGAGACCAGAGATTCAGAACCTGAGGAAATCTAGACTTGCTTCATTTAAGGCTTTTGCACTGCAGAGAGGGTTGAGCAGAAGGGAAAATAATGTGGTTCAGGGACTGTGAGACGGACTAATCCTCACCTGCGGAATGTGAATGGACGGACAGACAGACAGGCTGATAGACATAGGCCTCATCTAATTATAGACACGGCCTTATCTGTTAGCCTCATCTAAACACCACCTACCTGTAGAACACGTCGGTATTGACGTCGCACATGTTGATAGGATTCCGTCAACTCAGCAGCAAAGTTTAGAATCACCCTCCACATGATGTAGTTGACGACTGTCCTGAAGTGAAATAAAAAACATTAATTCCAACTTTCATTTAATTTGCATATAGCAAGGTAAACTATCCGGATTATCATGTAAGTCAAAGATAATCACTATATAGAGACATAATGACATGATTCACTGCCACTGGGGGGTGTAGGACTTACTCTCTGTCTGTTTCCATGACAGTGTCAAACATGTCGTGAAGGTACTCCGCAGCGAATACAACCACTGGTTCTTCCTCTGTGATTTCATCTGGCATGAACAGGTTGAAGTATCGCACCCAATCAAACTGAAGCATACATACATAGGTGTCAGCCCATGTCCAAATATTTTGTCACAAGAAACATTACTGTATGTTGTAAACTTGCCAAGTTTGTTTTTTAAACCTGAATAGGAGTCATCTCAGATAAAGAATTCTTCACTTTTATGGTAAACTCAATTGAAATCTAAAGAGCTGACTATTCAGCAGTCAGGAAGAAGCATGATATAATATGGGTCACTTCTTCAACACATGGGACAGTGGGGAGTGCTTGAAGCATTTGCTTGTCGTGCCAAAAACCCGGGTTCAATTCCTCACTAAGGTAAAAAGTGTGAAGCCCATTTTTGGTGTCCTCCGCAGAGATATAGCTAGAATATTGCTAAAAAGGGCATAAAACTGAACTGACTCACTTCCTCAAGATACACAGAAACTTTCTCTGAAAAACTAAGCTGAAAAAATCATTAAGACTCACAACAATTTCTTTGCAGACTATGCTAGGGCTATATATTTTAGTTATTTTATGTGATACCTGAAGTAAATGAAAATATTTTCATTTATTTCAGGATCAAAATATCTTTGAAAAACAATTTTTGCAAGAAACCCCTGAACTCCAAAACATCCAAGGGCTTCACATCTGCCTGTGATGAAAGCTTCAGGAACTCAGTGGAAAGCAAAACCATGTGAATCACTCATAAAATATCAACAAGCTGACAACATGGTTAACAGAGACAGTATCCTAGTCTGTCTCACAGTCCCTGAACCACATTATTTTCCCTACTGCCAAGCCCTCTCTGCAGTGCTAAAGCCCTAAATAAAGCAAGTCTAGATCTGAATCTCTGGTCTCCCTTGGGCTCCTTTTCAATATAAATGGGCTTGTTTGTTACTATCAAAAGTATATATATTCAGAGACTAAGCCTTAGTCTAGCAAATCAGCTGCAGCTTAATTTGTTTTTTCTTTTCAATTATTGTTCAGATTTGTTTCCATTTGATTGTGGGTTTTTTTTGGCTGCAAGAGACCATATTAATGATGTGTCACTTTAATGTTTTTGTCATTTAATTATTTTATTCATTTGAATACTGGACAAATTCATCTGCAAACTGAAAATTAATAAAAATGCAAACCATATGAAAGCTGAAGCATTTATAGTTACTCAACATGAAAGATATACATGTATATCTAGTATACCATGTAACATAGACTAATATAAACTGATGACAGTTTATAACAAGTTAAACAAACAGTGGTCACAACGGCAGAATTGTGACAGATTTTGGATGTGGTGTTACTAGATTAAACATTACTTGGCATATAGAGTTACTAGCTATAGATTATAACAGATTTAGTGTATAGATCTCCTAGATTATAACGATCCCCGACCGCGTCATACCAAAAGACGTTCAAATATGGTACTTGTTGGTCCCTGCCTGGTGTTCGGCATTAATGGATACAAGGACTGGTCGGCTCAGAGTCAGTATAATGTGTCTGAGTGGGGTATTCATGCTTCACTGCGGCATGGTATCTCAGTGGACTAGCACTATGAAACCAGTTTAAGTCTGGGCTAGTACAAGCAGCCGCACATATACATACACACGCATGCATGTCGTCATATGAGAGAAACATTCTCAAGCACGACATTAAACCCAATTTCACCTCACCTCACCTAGATTATAACAGATTTTGCATATAGTGCTAATAAATTATAACAGATTTAGCATGTAGTGCTACTGTATTACAACAGATTTAGCAATTATGCTACTAGATTATAACAGATTCAGCATATAGAGCAACTACAGTGTAATCTGTCTATTATGGACTGGCGTGGGACCGACTCATTTGTCCTGATTGTAAAGCGGTCCGGATAGGACAACTTTTGTCCGTTACCGAATACACTATCACGATGAGTTACCGTATATTACCGTAGAAAAGCCAAATTTTGAGGACCAATGTGTTACACTATGGGTTACACTTTCATCAAACCTTTTTTCAGGGGGTAAGAAAACGACATTGTATCCCTTCGCGTGAACAAAAAACAGAAGACGACTTTGTGAGTATAGACATCAAATTTGCAATTAAACATCACTATTTACCTTTTCAGTTCTAATTTTTTTTGCTAGGCAATGTCTTATATGCAGGGATTAAGATTACCATGTGTATTTGTCCTGCATACAGAGCCGGAAATAGCAATCAGCTGTGCACACGTTCTCCCATGACCTACCAGTGATTTAGTTAAAACATACGCAATAATATAAGGAGATGAATTCTGATGCAGTGATCGGAACAATATAGCATTTGAATCTGAAACTATTATTTTATAAAGAGAAAAATATTCTAGCATTGCATCATTTCAATAGCAGGTTTTGCTCTATAAATGTAAAATATTTATTATCATAACTAAGGTTATGTGACAGCATTTTGGTGTATTGCCGGATAGTTTTATATATGGAACAATTTGACCTGTCACCAATGAGGTTTTGCTTCCACCCCGAAAACAGTTTGTTGACTTGTGATTGTCCAGCTACACCAATTATGGCTTTTAGTAGAACAAAATATGTATACGTATCCATTTTCTGACAACAACACTTCATTTCGAGCGTGAGTAGACGCAATATGACATCTTGTGGACTGAGTTGGCCATGATTAGGACCCCAACAGATGCAACTTGAGACTGTTATTTTAGTCAGCTAAGTCCGGATTACAAAGCATTGTTCTCATAGCAAGTTGATTGTTGGGACTGTTATCTTAGTCTATAATCTGTAATTGAGAAAGTCCGGATTATAAAGCAGCTTTAATGATAAATTAAGAACAATTTTGCCGGGACTCAGAGAGTAGTCTGGATTATGGAGAAAACTGGGTTACACTGAGTCCAGATTTGACAGATTCCACTGTATATTGTAACAGAATTACCAGATACCACTACTAAATTATCACAGATTTGGTATATAGCGTTACTAGATTATAACAGATTTACCATATAGTGCTACCAGATTATAACATATTTAGCATATATAGTGCTATAGATTATAACAGATTTACCATATAGTGCTGAAGATTATAACAGATTTACCATATATAGTGCTACTAGATTATAACAGATTTACCATATAGTGCTACCAGATTATAACATATTTAGCATATATAGTGCTATAGATTATAACAGATTTACCATATAGTGCTGAAGATTAAAACAGATTTAGCATATGAAGCTATAGATTATAACAGAGATTTAACATATAGTGCTACTAGATTAGAACAGATTTAGCATGCAGACCTGACCGATTATGTTACATAGATTTAGCAGTGATGATGGTAGATAACATGATCTCTGAAGATCTTACTGTTGGTGTTACTTGCTGAAGCTCCCTCAGAGTCATCTTCTCATAGATGGCGCCAGTATCATGACGCTCTGACTGCGGTTTTGTCACCTGTAAGCAGAAAGAAATGGGAAGGTCAAGGTTGGGAGAGTTACTGTTGACCCACAGGGACTGCATGAGTTGACAAATCAGATTTTAGAAGTTATGACAGTCTTCATGACAATGAAGGACAGTTAGATCATGTTTATTGTAGAGACTGCCTTTTCTGATGCCTCTGGAAGGTAAGGACATGCTAATCCTTTTCACAAACGCCTAAGATTCAGTAATCTGTTTATGTAATTGTCAAAAATGCTTTCTTTTCATGTCAAACCTGTTTGCCACATAAGATTGGCTGACTATGCTTTCAATCCTCAACATATGTTTAGGCTTAATAAGTAAAATATATTCCTTTGAGCCAAATAGAATCCCAGTTAATAATCCCACTGGACAAATTCTACACTATTTAAATATTATATTATATTCATCCACTGAACCAAAGCTAAAATATAGTTTTATTGTTGAGGCCCATGAGGGGTGAAATCTAACTGACAACACTGGAAGAAGATTATAAGATTTTAAAATGGATTAATCTCTTTCAATGAATACCAAAACTCACATTTGCCAGTTTGATCTCAAACTGGAGGACTTCGTGCAGCTCGTCCTGAGCCATGTGCATGTCTGCCCCGAGAAGGTGTGCCACATCCAGCATGTACTTGTAGTAGGCGTGGAAGTACAGGGTGTCCTCCGCCTGCAGGTAGTACTCTCGGCTAGGCATCCCCAGCTTGGGCTGGTCTATCTGTAACAGTGAGTGAGTGAGTGTCCAATGCCTGTAGGTAGTACTTTCGGCTAGGCATTCCCAGCTTGGGCTGGTCTATCTGTAACAGTGAGTGAGTGAGTGAGTGAGTGAGTGAGTGAGTGAGTGAGTGAGTGTGAGTGAGTGAGTGAGTGAGTGAGTGAGTGAGTGAGTGAGTGAGTGTCCTATGCCTGTAGGTAGTACTCTCGGCTAGGCATTCCAAGCTTGGGCTGGTCTATCTGTGACAGTTAGTGAGTGAGTGAGTGAGTGTCCTATGCCTGTAGGTAGTACTCTCGGCTAGGCACTCCCAGCTTGGGCTGGTCTATCTGTAACAGTGAGTGAGTGAGTGAGTGAGTGAGTGAGTGAGTGAGTGTCCTATGCCTGTAGGTAGTACTTTCGGCTAGGCATTCCCAGCTTGGGCTGGTCTATCTGTAACAGTGAGTGAGTGAGCATGGTGAAATTGTGAGTGAGTATGCAATACGTAAGGGTTTAGGAGTGAGTGAAGGTGTGATAGTGAGAGATAGTATTTGAGTGACAGAAAATTATACACAAGCAAGTGTCAATGTTGCTAAACCTTTTGCTTAATATTGACCATCTGGGTTATGTGGCCAATACCATATTTCAATTGGAACATGAGTGCAATACTGGGAACAATTTAACACTGTACAAACACTGAGGTCTATCAATGTTTTACAGCCTCCTCTGTACTGTCACATACAATTAGAGGTGGCCCAGTTGTCTAAGGTTCTGCAAATGGCAGTCACGTCCCCTGGGCCTCCCAGAAGCCTACAATTGTGGGTCCTGATCCTGGTTTGCCCAAATTATACTTCCAGTTTTGTCAGCATCTTCCCAAGGGTTTCAACAATGAGGCAAAAATCCAAGACATTCATCTCTTCAGACTTTCTTCCCACGTTTAGCTGACATGCCGCGATATAATTGAAATACTGTTGAAAGTGTCAATACTTTATTAATGTATGTCGGACTGTGGGCTACTGCGGAATATGTTGTCCATCTGTACAAAAGCTTTTTTAAAAATAAGTAAGAAACAGGTCAACACACAATGAGTACAGTGAAATAGTATTGTTCTCTCTGGATATCGGGGCGATGGGGTAGCCTCGTGGTTAAAGTGTTCGCTCGTCACACCAAAGACCTGTGTTCGATTCCCCACATGGGTACAATGTGTGAAGCCCATTTTTGGTGTCCCCTGCCATTATATTGCTGGAATATTGCTAAAAAGCGGCGTAAAACCATACTATCACTCACTCACTCTCCCTAATGATAAAGACGATTTTTTTATGAAAGTTTTGTCAAAATAACACTTCCTAATGACAAGGGTCCTCAATCTTGAGAATGTGTGATTGAATCCCAGATGGAACTTTTCCCAATATAGTACCAGAATCTGTACTTAAATGAGAAAGTTCAATACCAATTATATTTGTTAATTAATCTCTGAAAAACTTTTGAAAATACCCAGTAACACATTTCTCACATGGCTATTTCAGAAAAATCCTATGAAATAGTGAAGTTGAAAACTTGATGAAGCTCAGGTTTAAGCTTCATGTACACTGATATTAGAATAACAATCACTGATCAGATCCAGGACTCCTGCTAAACATATAAATGTTAACACGTTGACTGCCTATCATGAGTGTACCCGTAGTATCAATTCTGGCCGAATTTGGTATTTTGAAACAAGTTTCACATGTTGGCCAAATAGGCACAAGAAACAAACATCTCCTGGTGTTCTTTGTTAGCGCCAGGAGACGATTGCTTCTTGTGTCTGTTTTGCCAACATGTGAAACCTGTTTCAAAATACCATTGATGCAGCTATGAGATAACTCCTAGTGACAAATTCGGCCAAACATTGATACATAGAGTATGCTTGTGGTGGCAGTCAATGTGTTAAGACCTACAATTGGAAATACTCTTTGATCAAATGTTGTTACACAATGCAAAGCAATCAGTCTGATAATAACACCATTTGGTTCCCCCAAGACACAACATCAAAGGGGAAATGGATCAACCTTATGACATATCATTACTCTCCTTCACAGACCATAGTACTTTCAGTTTGTTCTCAGCTCCCTGGGGAGTATGAATCACAAGGTGGATGGTTTGCATTGCCTTCACAATATCCTATCACAGATCATTTCACAGCTGAGTGAACAGAGGCTATCTTGAATTAGGTCACATGGCCACATTGTAAACTTTCGCTTCCATTTCATCTGACCTTTGTAATGAAAACATCAGACACAAGATGTTGATCATGTCTAATTCATCTTGCTGCCCAGATGACTACAATTAACTGTTGACCCATATAAACACCACCAGAGTGCTATGGCCGAAGCAATCTTAAACAGCACAACCACTGTCATAATTCTGAGATAATGTATGACCCCAAGAGAGAAAAAAAGCTGAGACGGCAGCAGGCTGAGGCCACCTGAAGCCAGCGCATAATTGGAAATTCCCTTCTCCGAATGGTCACTGAAAATGATGTTTTCAGACCCAATTGAGTGATTTTGAATTATTAAAATGTGCACACTAAAGAAAATAAGTAAACATACCTTAAAATGGTTTCATTTTCTTGCATAAATCAATCGAGAAGTGGATTCTTAATTTTATGTTTCATATGAACCCAGTTTGTGTGGAGATTTATTAGATGTTCCGTATTCCTACCTGTAAAATGTTGACAGAGGAATTCTTGTCGTCAGCGCCAACCCAGATGTCCATAAGCACTGGAGCGTTGTACTTCCCGCGCAGTTTCCCCAACAATAGTTCAAGGTCAAAGGTCGATGGATCCCAAGTAGCGTCAATAAGTGGCCATCCCCCTAGACTGTCCAGCACCTCCCGCAGAGGAGTGTCTCCCACTCTTTCCACTTGAGCTGCCAACAATGTAACAGTATGTCAAACAATGTGTCTGTCTGTGCCCTCAGCTATAGAGGTCCTGTATGTCTCGCGAGGCGCAACTCCCGTTACTCCCTTTGCCCGCACCAACTTGCGATTTTTGTAAGACGGGGCCCAGCTTACTTCCGGTACCAGATTTCCAGTGACAAACATATATTCAAGAACCAGTTCTGGTTCCAAATTGCAATTTATGTAATGTGACTAGACCGAACCAAGTGTATATTGTTTGTCACCGGGAGTACTAAGGTCTCGTGAAGTGCCGTGACCTACTTACAGGCCCTATTCTAGGAAAGTGATGGTGGCTTGTAGATAGTCAATCCAATGACCGATATTGTGAGCAACGTTACCATCAAGGAACAATGATATGCCATGAACAAAATCATGGAAATTGGCCTCTTTCTACAAACATGGCTTGGTTACAAATTCTGGCCCGGAATCTACTCAATGTACATCAAAGAAGAGGTTAAAACAGTATCTTATTACGAATATTAACTCTTGGAGAGGTTATGCAAAAACAAGGACTGAAAAATAAGCCAAAAAGGGTAACACTAGAATCCTCTTTGGATATTGTGCTGGTGGGCTTTAATTAATTTCTGAGGAAGAGAAACATAATATCCAGTTAATATCCCTGCTCTCTGAGCTTCATCTGACTGATGATATCTTGCAACATCCCAGATAGACATTCAACATGTCTTTCTTTCACACAAAGGTTAAATTCAGAAGGACAAAAGACCATCGAATCACATTTTCATTCTGAGGTTATGTTTGTGACAAGACAGATACTTACAGACATTGATGCAGGATCGGTACAACACTTTGGCCTTGAGAGTTGCCTCGCAGTCATGGGGAGTGGGGGACTCCTCCAGGAGACCTGTCGGAGGAGTTTACAAGTTATGTCTTTAACATGGACAGGTAAAAATATCCTTCTGATTTCGATATTCTTGATAGTCAAATTAGAAGTATCTGCATCTGTATTATTTTTTTTAAAAACATGATATGATAACTTTTTTGAAAGGCTTATTAAAATAATTGTGGACCTTTATGTTTACTTACATTTTAGAACTAAGGAGCTTTTTTGTTTGGGACAAGACAATTCTTTTCATCTGAATTTTGGATATTCTATGCAAATGCATTCTGTCAATTTCTAGAAATACTTGAGATTATAACAGAGGTACAAGATTCTGTGGCTCACTGAAATTTAGAAGAAATATTGGCAGGTCATTTAACCCATGTGAAAACTGTGAGAGGACTATTCAGGACTGACTTTGTGTGCTGGCAATTAGGTGCCTGACTTTGAGGTTGTGGGTTTGAATCCCTGATGGGACTCAACCCAACAAAAGTTCTACAATCTGTACTTTACTGAGAAAGTGTAATCCCAAATATAACATGTTACATTTGACCACTTTCTAAAACGGCATTGTGTATTCATATTCAATACAGTCGAACCCCGCTTATCTCGACATTTTGGTTACACTCGGAAATCGTACAGATAGCGAGGTGTTCGGTTAACTGGCTCAAAGAAGCAAAACGTATTGACGATGTCTATTGAAAATTTAATCATGTATGTACGTGTATATCAATAAATCAGGGGAGGAAGGAATTGTACAGTGACGTTGGTCAGTTGAACGATCGGGTGCAGTCACACGTTATAAACAGTACAATTACAATGTAGTTAATCCTAATCCAAATAAACAAGTGTTTTTGTTACTGATGAGATGTTCTCACACCTGCCAAATCCTAATGAACAACTGAAGTGACACATGTCCCAAGTGTTTTGATGGGTAATTAATCAATTCACATCAAACGCCTGCTGAGAGATTAACAATGAACACACTTAGTTGTGTGGTAAACATACACATGAGCACAGATCTTTCCGTCCAGATACCAGGATCCTTTTTCAATGAAAATCTATGGGAACCTTTTGAAAATTCTTTGTCTGTGTCTGGAAGCGTGGGGTCCGGTTGAGAGAGTACAATTACTGAAGGTAAGTTTCGTTTCATCTAAAAATCATCCGGATCCACTAGGAGGCGATGATATGAGGATATGATACATATCACGAATATTGAGTAACGAATACGTATATTTAATAATGAATATGAATATGATAAAGATAATAATAAATTCAGTGAATTAGGAGCTGTGGGGTAGCCTTGTGGTTAAAGTATTTGCTCGTCACGACGAAGACCCCGGTTGAATTCCCCACATGGGTACAATATGTGAAGCCCATTTCTGGTGTCCCAAGCAGTGATATTGCTAGAATATTGCTAAAAGTGGCAATAAAATAAACTCACTCACTGATTCCAATTAAAGATATAAGAACATTATAAGTTGTAACCTTCTCTCGGGGGTAATACAGTCTGATGGCCGGTTGGCGAGGGATGACACTACTACAAAGAGGCGTACATCAGACCGTATTATCCTCGAGAGAAGCATACAACGTATTTATCTTACCGCCATGTTAAATGTACAAAATATCATTTTATTTTATGTTAAAGATCCTTACCAACTATATGGCATGTAAACAAAATGGCGTCTGCCTCTCGAGTGGATTTTGAAAATCAGTGAAACGTATTCTGACAAGCTTAAAACTGCTATAAAAATGGTTAATTATGTTTAAGTTGAGTGAGCAAACCACTCAGTGTGTAAAATAGCTTAAAAAAAGCAGTGAAAGTCGGTAAAATAAATCTGTACAAATCTGAACACACAAACAGCTGATCGAACGGTTTTCGAACTCCGGGCATGGCATGCGTCACAGTATGACGTCACACCATTGTTAGCGCTTCCGCTTCTCGGCGGAGAGCTTGGCGGTTACCGTGGCTGCGGGTAATATTTTTTCCAGTTGTCACCCTCCTGGGAGGGGTGACACAGAAACTTGTTAAAGCATCATTGACCAATGAAATCAAAGTATTTCACATGAAGGTTAGATAATGGCTATTATCCTGCCTGCTTAGGATATATTCTGTATCCCATTTTGCTAAATAACACCCAAATTCATGTGAAAAAGCACATCATTGTCCATTTTGAGGGGCAAATTCAAAATTAACCTAATTTTTCTTCAAGCCAGATGAATTCATGTGACAAAATATTAAGTGAAAAAAATGAAGCATTTAACCTTTCGACTTTATTTTCACACGCCAATGCAGAAAGAATGTTTCTATATTTTTTGGACCACAAAAACTATGGTTTTGAAGAAAAGTCAGTTTTTTATTATCCATTGATTGATAGTAATGCATTATTAATTTTATTATAAAGTCAAAGATGCCACAAGTAACTGGCTCCTTGGCTCCTTTGAGAAAACACAGAATCCCAAAACTTATAAAAAATTAAAAACCTTCTCAAAATCAAATCAAGGTTTCATTTTTTAGACAGATAATTTCCATGAATGATACCATTGTGGTATAATGACCCTTACAACCCACACATATTCAGGAGATACTATGTCTTGTAGCGAAGATGTAGTCGAGACTTCTGTTTTTGTTTGCTTGTTGTTTAATACCTCACTCCACCAGCCATATGGTGGCACTCTGTGAATAATCGAATCTGGACCAGGCAATCTAGTGATCAATAGCATGAGCACTGATCTATGCAATTGGGATACAATGACATGTCTCAACCAGGTCAGCAAGCCTGACCACCCGTTCCCGTTAGTCGCCTTTCAAGACAAACAAACTGGTTGTTGCTGTAGTTTGTTCCAGCTGTAGATACTGCATACTTCATCCTGTGACTATCACCTGCCAGTTTTGGTTTCCTCAGTTCAGTCAAAAGCTGACCCTTTGATGTGGTATGAGCTCTCTGATCTTTGATGCCTTGCCACAGGCTCCTAATAACTTGACAAACTGACCAGGATGTACATACCAAGATGCGGAAAGTCCATAACCTGCTTGACCAATGTCACATGTAGTTCAAGGGTTAATGTTTCCTTGGCATGTATATTTTATGGCTATTATTGCCTTTGAAGATGGATGTCAAGACACAGCTTGACCACTGTCACTGACATGATTGGAAGGCCAAAGGTCTCCCCTGATCAGCACGTAATTTACTAGGGAAAGCAATCTGGCAGATTTCCTACCTACGATACATACATAAGAGTTGCCTGTAAATAATTGAGGCTGGATTTGGCAAATCAATGACTGAAAGCTTGACCAATCATCCAAGCATGCATTTCAGCCATGATGACACATGGTCAAGCAGCGTTTGATCCATCTTAATCAAAGTTGCACAAAGTCACAAATCCGTCCATCCATAATTGATTAATTCCAATCAGAACAAATAAAACTCAAAGTTGACCCATGCTGTGGACAGTCATTTTCTGCCATCGAGTACAAGATATCTCCATGATATCTGTCTTGTACTGAAACTAATCAACCCAATAATCAAGGGAAAAGAGATGCATCTTCACTTTGCTGTTTCCAAAATGTTTGGGAGTGACAATTTTCTCAAAGATATGAAAGATCTTAAAGTAGTCAGTTGTAAGGCTGCTATGAGGTGAATACAATGTGTTTGACGGAAATATAAACAAATATATATTCATGAAGACTTTGTTTGAAATCAAGAAATTTAAATGACAAACATGTCATGTAATTGCTGAAGTTGAAATATTTAAAGGATATTTTCTATAACGCTAAAAAAGCAATACATTGCAAACAATGCCACTCATTGACTAATGACTACGTCATAAAGATCTTTGGTAAAATACAACAAGTTACGCTACTGCATGGCTGCATTCCATTTTGCATATCCCACTTAGATAAACAACAAACTACTTTCAAGTAAAAAACACTCTTAAAATATTCATAAATATTTGATTCTAATTACCACATATAATGAATTGAATTCATGGAGAGATATTGTTTGATTCACCAAAATCACGAGTGAATTGTAACAGGATTAGTCAGTAGTATGGGGAAATATATTTCAAGTCTATGGCCCTGATAATAAAAGTATTCTCTGTCGTAATCAATTCCTGTTAACCACATGAGGTACTTCAGACCTGTACTGATCCAGAAATGATAGCTTCACATTCACTGATGGAGATGTTATCAGATGTTAAAGACTTCAGTGATATAAAAAGTAAGTAAATGAGTATGGTTTTACGCCACTTTTAGCAATATTCCACAAAAATCACGGCGAGGGACACCAGAAATGGGCTTCACACATTGTACCCATGTGGGGAATCGAACCCAGGTCTTCAGTGTGATGAGCGGACTCTTTAACCAATAGGCTACCCCACCGCCCCGACATAAAAAGTCATAGTTCACCTTTTAATATGATCTGTAGTTCATCATGCAGTTTCTCGAAAGTGTTGAAGCTGGACTTCTCCTCAGGGATGACGTAGGTTTTGTCCCACTGACCACAAGCAAACTGGTAGAAGTCCTCACAGGGGTTCACCGTCCTATCCATCATCTCCATCAGCTGGGACGCTGTGACCAAAAAACCATATCGATGTCCAAATACTTGTATAATACACACAAGAGCAGAAAAAGTAATGTTACATACATTAGAAAACATGATTGTCCCCATTTTGACTTGAACCATATGTTCCTTTTTTTTTCAGGTGAGCAATTGACTTGCCTGTGCATGTGTTTGTGACCACCTTGTTACGAACGCCTGGTATTGTACTATATGATAGTGATTCTCACAATATAGTCATAAACACAGTGGTAGCAGAATCATAGAGTTTTTATGATTCTTGAAGTGTATTTATGTCACTCATATAACAAACAGCATGGAACACCAAGGATAGAAACTGGAACACAAATCATCCATATTTATTTCATTTTTAACAGAATTTGCTTCATATAACACATGAAAAATCTATTTTAGTAGCAATAAAAAGACAAATAAGCTGTCTGTAAGACATTATGTTTCTTCTGGCATTTTCAGTAACTGTATACCTTTCTGTGAATTTATCCCTTACGTGAAATGTCATATGGATCATGTGGGCTGAGACAGTGGTACCGCAAGCAGAAATGGAAATGATCGTGCCACACTTCATGTCTCATCTAAATATATTATTCATATTTCTGTTTGGGAAAATGATTAAATCTGTAACTTACAAGTTTTTAAAGTCACATCAAGATACACTAAATACAAAGAATTAGATCGTAAACTAAATCATGGAATGAAACCCCATCATCAGAGTGTTGGCCCAGCAGGAAGTGTGTCATTCACTGTGAATGTGATCCTAGTTTAACTCTCTACAGACATACAATCTTTCTAGCGAATTCATCCTCATTATTGATATTTTCACACAAAGTAATCAGTTAATTGGGAATCTTGATGGACATTATTGGGTTTTTTTATATACTTTTTTAAATATTTAACCAATAATTACCATGGAAACCACACTGGGATTTCCATTTTTTTACCTATCTTGTGTAATTTTCCTGGGTACTAGATATCGTATTTTCAAATATATTCCCTTGTTTAAAAAAAACCATCTTCACTTTTAAAATTTGATCTTGCACCTTTAAGACAGATTAGATCTGATGATTGATTGGAGGCTTGTGATGAAACATAATTGATTTTAGATTTTCATCCAATCATCCATTATCTTCCACATGACCTCAACTGTACCATTCCTGGAAGTCTGCAAGATGGAATGAGTTAATGAATGATCTTGAACTAGAATTTCCAATAAAAAATGATCACACTGAACGTAAAAACAGAAGTCAATCTGTCAATAGTCATTAGTGCCAGGAAATGTGTAGTTTATCCAATTTAATCCTTTTACATTACCACTCATTTGGAGAAAAGTGCTGTGTTTTCAACGTACCTTTCCAATCAATCAGCATGCTGGATTCAAAATATTCAGTAAAAGAAGAACTGGTTTCTGTATCCCGAAATAAAAAATAATCAGGGAGTTCCAAATGCAAAAGAATATAGATGATACTGTTGTTGATATCAATACTGTGTGTGAAGGGACATACTACCCTTGGAATATTTGTATTCTATTCTATGTTGCAAAGATCCGAATTTCTAAATCAAGTTGGTGAAGAAAAGAACACCAATTATTTAGAAGGCTGACAACTGACACAAGAATCCATGAATCATTCATTTCGACTAGGGACTGTCGAATTTCACTCACAGTTTACCAGACATGATCTTCTGTGGAGGGGTTGTCAGTTCTTTGTTTCACAGCAAATGATTTGATTGCAATGAGATTACAAAGGTTTCAACATGTATCAACATTTCTCTCAGGAAAACCTGCAGCATCACAAGCTTGGCTTATCTGGGTAGTGTGTGAATAGCCCATTGCCCTCCAGCCCATGCCAAGCGCAATATTGGTTAGACTAAAGATTTTCGAAATACCACAGCCTGAAAGTTTATACCGCTTCCGAAAGTTTAACATTGATTTCTTTTCACAATACTCTTAGTTTATTTAAATTTCAGCATTTGAACATTAAATTATCAATGACAAACTGAGGTTCACTGATTGTCTGAGGGCCACTATGATATTGTGGGTTTACCAGCACAGGCTGTTAAACTGTTACTACCCATGAAGTGTGAGAAATAGCCACTGGCCCGCTAGCCAGTGGCTAGTAAATATCCAGTTGGGCTAGTAATTCTCCCCAGTTACTGGCCTGACTGGCTAGTGAATTTTCATGGGGTCATTTTGTAAATGCATGCATGTATATCACTTTCTCCGACTTGTTAAGTTATAATAGTATTACGCTTTTGAATAATGCAACATTATGACCTGATAATTTAATGATGAATCCTGTGTCATGCCGACAATATCCATTTCTCAAAGACATGTAAGTTGACTGTGCATGGAAAACACTGTATGATTGGTTGTATATAATTGCCATGAACCAATCAGTTGCTCTGTAACTTACAGCAAAACAGAAAATGTATCCTGTCAGACAGGGACACGCACCCGTGAAAGCAGTCACTGTTAGGTTAAGAAATTGTTTTCTTATTTGTTTTTTGATGGTATTTAACGTTTTTGTAACCTTTTTCTTAGTTTCCACATTCGAATTTCGGGTTTGTGAATAACTTTGTGGGCTAGTATCTTTCCAGCATAGCTAGCCGAACTAGCTAGCAAAATTTGAAAACTCTTTCACACACTGTACCCATGTGAAATATTGGAGGGACAAAAAGTAAACTGTCATTCATTTAAGCTAGTGGAATATGAAAGTGATTGGTAACTTCTAATGTTTAACTGATCTGTTGAAGATGAACTGCACTTCCTTATGTTATGTCCTCATTATAAGATATGTAGAGAACTGTTTGTACCACCATATTATTATACCAATCTATCCCATGTTAGTCTCATCAATGTCAACAACAAATTCTGATCTTATAAAGAGGATATCACTGTTCCTCAAAGAAATGTATCATGTTAATTAGTCTTACATTGTATATCAATATATCTTGCGCACTGTATTACTTGTAAGAAGGATGCATTAGAGCTGTTCAAGTCAAAGGATATCTTAAGAGTGTACTATATATTTTGTTGTGCATCGCATAAATTGAGTATTTAGTTACTACGTTGTTTGGAAGATCATAACCAACTGTTATGCTCATAGTGTGCTGCAGCATCTGTTGAAGATAAATTTCATTTCTTTCTGTTATTTCCTTATCATAAGACATGTAGAGAACTTTTTGTACAACAATATTATAACAATCCATCTTATGATAAATTTGTTTCATTAATGTCAACAACATATTCTGTTTGTATGAACAAGATATCATTGTTTATCAAAAGAAATGCTTCATGTTAAGTAGTCTTGCATTGTAGATCAATATATCTTGTGCACGGTGTGATGATTTTGGTATCTTAGCACTATGGGCCAGGAGGCCTCAAATGCAAATAAACTTGTCACTTGTCACTTGTGAAATGTTTAACTGAGCTACCAGTAGACCATCTGGCCAATAGCATTTTCAGACTGTTTCACTGATCTGGGGCAGCAGAAATTCTGCTGTCCTGCTATTAGGGAACTTACAACTGACTGACTGACTGAGTTTGGTTTTACGCCGCTTTTAGCAATATTCCAGCAACATCACGGCGGGGGACACCAGAAATGGGCTTCACACATTGTGCCAATGTGGGGATTCGAACCCGGGTCTTCGGCGTGACGAGCCAACGCTTTAACCATTAGGCTACCCCACCGCCCCAGGAACTTACAAGGCTACTCAACCTTCAACAGGGGAAGTCAGATAGCTTTTGCTGGTAATGTGTTGATGACTTGCACACTACTTTCAACGTTGCAAGTCAAGAATTGTTTTGTTGTGGATTGAGTTATCTGCCCTTGTTGGGTACGTGAACTTCAGGATTGATTGTTTTAGAAGTTATGGAAACTTTCATTTGTACTGAAGAAATCCCACATTGAACAACATATTCCTTCAATTGTTCCCCCTTTGGTTGAGGATGCCATGGGTCTCAATAGGGACAGGATATCAAAATATCCAGAGCCATTAAACAGTGAGGCCTTAAAGGCACAGTGTCACGCTTTTTCAACAATATTTTGGTCTATGATATATATATTGGGGCATATGCACTCACTTTAGCTTCCAAACAGATAACACTTGCCATATATGGAATGTAAACAATTGCTCCGTACACTGACAACTGTCGCACGCGGTGTTGTTTGTGTTTGCTGAACTGGGCTCAATCACAAGTTACGTTATAGGATATTCGTAAAGAGCTTTCCAAGGGACATAACTCTATGGGATTTGCTTGAAATATAGTTCGGTTGGTAGATGGCGTGAGTGTCGATTTAATGCAACGTTGCATTAATTCATTCAAACTTTTTGATTTCATACTGTAATCTTAATACATATAATTTTTCGGGATAAATTATCTGGTAGCTTCACTGGGGGCTGATAGTAAATATATTAATGAGAGAATTCAATTCTGATTTTTATAGCAGTGTGGCATGATAGTGTGCCTTTAATTATCTCAATTTGGAATATTCTGTTTAAGTTCATATTTGAAATACAGAAATCGGATATGCATATTAGATTGCTTCATGTCCCAAGACCTCATTACTGATTGGCTGATAAGAAAGTTCTGTAGGTTGCCTTGAGTGTTCAAAAGGTCAGATTTTAATCATACTGAATCGCATTCAAAATTAAATTCAAGATTTTAAATTTGACTGAAACATAAATAATCATAGCTGATGAAAATAACTGTGAAATCAATGTTACCTGTTTTAATGCATTCTGCTGTTAAACAGTGTTTGGATTCATCTGCAAAACAAACATACATGGCATTATCAATGAATCTAAACAGACAAGTGACTGTGTGAGTTACTAAGCTGGTTTTTGCAAAATATACAGTTAAATATACAGTTAAATGCAGCTGTTTGTTATATAAGTACTTTGAACTATCCACAGTTCGACACAACCACAAAATGCAGAAAAAGTCCAGACCAATTTTATTTCTTGTTTTACAAATCCACCGGCTGTATTTTTTCAAGAAGTAGAAGAAACATAAAAATGAATTGCCCTGCTTAGAAAATAAAATCCTAATATTTTCATTGGCGAAAAAAATGTAAAGTTACAAGAATTTTTCTTTAGATTGTTTTTTGCCCCATATGCACTCCATTACTTACCAAAATCAATTACTTTTAGTATTTAAATGGAATAGTACTTTGAAGATTTTTTACTTTTCATTTTTTTTACTTTTTTTTTTGTTACCTCCTGCCTTTAGGTTTTCTGAGGACAAAAATCTGTAAAACAATAAAATAAACTTGGTCTGGCCTAAAGAAGGAATGCATAAGGACCAAACTTTTACTTCGAGACTAATTTCGACATGTTAACATTTGACACAATAATGTTTTACTGTATGGAAACACCACTCAACGTGGATCACCAAAAATATACTACTTGTACCATGTAGGGGAATCAAATCTGGGTCTTCCAAGGAAACTGCTATTCCTACACACAGTCACAGGAGTCACAGGGTGCAGAGAAATCATTTTGTATTCTTTGTAAGCTGAATTATGAGGGCATAGATCCTGAAATGTGACATTTTCTAAAACTACCTGTCACTTACCGGTACATAGAGTGGTTATTTATGAATAATGGATTATTGTCCATTTTTCTTCATATATAGTACTCACACTTTGCTAAGGATCATAAAATTTCACAACTTTACTTAAACATAGATTTATAATTTGAAAATGTATTTATTTAAAACTGGGTAAATAATGATATGGTAACCCCTCTTTAGGCAAACTGTCACTTTAAATCTAACCTGATGCACCTGATTCATGAGTAACCATTTACATGGTTTTCATGGCACCAATCAACCATTTTGCAGATCATGGAACGAGTCATTGACAAGTACACAACACCTGTCAATAGCAGGTATGGGATCCACAAGATGTAATGACACACTGAAACCTAGGATCCATGCTTACAATAGGCTTAGATATTTAAACCAAATTTGACCCCATATTATAGTTTTCTTGAATCAATGATTAGATCCTTAGCAAAGTGTGAATAGTATACTCAGGATAGACATTCAGGATACTGAGTATGAACTATAGTGAGTGATAAACCATTAGGGAGACCTGTTTATATGCTCTTGCTATCATGGATGAATTTACACTGTATGTTGTCATAATATACTGAAGGAAACAAATAAAGGAACACCACTACATCGCAGTGTTCCTTTATATTTTCCCAGACTTTTACCAACACTACAACACAAAGCTTGCTGATAACTTGGAAAAGAATAAAGGAACGCTTGTACTTTCATGTGTTCCTTTATCTATTTCCCTCAGTATATAACAGTATTACTTCAGCAATAAAAGCATCCATCATTTCATCTATCCACCCATTAATCCATTTTCAATCCATCATCATCAATCAACTAATTCATCATCATTTATCCATCCATTAAACCATCAATCTACCAACTCATCCATTATCATCTAGAACACAATGTGTGAAGCCCATTTCTGATGTCCCCTGCCGTGTTATTGCTGGAATATTGCTAAAAGCATCGTAAAACTAAACTCACTCACTCACTAGCATCTAGAAAGTCATCCATCTACTCATTCATGATATCATTCATACATCAACCCATCAATCAGACAATTCATCTATCCATCATCATTCAACCAATCCATCATTCCATTCACTCATCATTCATCCATCCAACTATCAATCGATCCATCACATCACATCACATTACAACATCCATTTATCACATCGCATCATTCATCACATCACATTACAACATCCACTAATCACATCGCATCATTCATCATTCATCATATCACATCATTCATCACATCACATCACATTATAACATCCATTTATCACATCATTCATCATATCACATCATTCATCAGATCACATCACATTACAACATCCATTTATCACATCGCATCATTCATCACATCACATCATCCACTAATCACATCGCATCATTCATCACATCATTCATCAGATCACATCACATTACAACATCCATTTATCACATCGTATCATTCATCACATCATTCATCATATCACATCATTCATCAGATCACATCACATTACAACATCCATTTATCTCATCGCATCATTCATCACATCATTCATCATATCACATCATTCATCAGATCACATCACATTACAACAACTATTTATCACATCGCATCATTCATCACATCACGAATCATTCATCCATCCATTCATCACATAATTCATCCATCCATTCATCACATAATTCATCCATCCATAAATCCATACATGAATTCATCAGTCTAAACCTAGTCAACCATCTGCTTCAGTTTATTCAATAACTTCATGTAAATAGACTTTTACAAGGTAGGAATGTTTTATTAGCAAATACAGAAAAGTGGAATATTTGATGTAAATAAACCTTTTAACGTTGAATTGCTGTCATCCTAAAGAGGAGACAATTGAGTTTTAACTGTTTACTTGTTCTGGGTTTCAAGTTTCTTATCAGTTATTATAAGAGACTGAAACTACTTCAACTTGTTTTTATTTCATATAAACTATACATTCATTTGAGAAATGACTTGAAATAAAACAATTCAAGGAGAGAAAATAGTTGGTCGCAATAGACTATCGCTATCACAATAGTATGTTGCAATAGACTATGGCAATAGTTTTTCCCCCTCTCTAGTCACCCCTATTCTTTAAACCCATGTGGGGAATCATACCCAGACCTTCAAGGAAGTGAACCATTTATCCACTGAGCTGACTCACTGTCTGGCCTTAAAACCAATGATTTTGTGAAGATTTTTATGAATGTTTTGCCAAAATAACACACAATACTCTCCCTAATGATGAGGACTCTGAGAGTATGGATTCAGATCCCGGATGAGACTCAACCCAATAAAGTACTAGAATCTGTACTTTACTGAGAGACCCATTAAGATACGGGTTAGAACTGATCTTCAGTAACCCATGCTTGTCGTAAGAGGTGACTAATTGGATTGGGTGGCCTAGCTCGCTGACTTGTTTGACACATGTCATCATATCCCAATTGTGTAGATCGATGCTCATGCTGTTGATCACTGGATTGTGTGGTCCAGACTTGATTATTTACAGACCACCTCCACATAGCTGGAATATTGCTGAGTGCGGTGTAAAACTAAACTCACTCACTCACTTTACTGAGAAAGTGTAATCCCAAATAAAATATTTGTGAAATACTCTCCCAAACACTTTTGAAAATACCCAGAAGCACATTCCACACATGGCTATTTCAGCAGATAAATCCTGCCTGTCATGTCTGTGAAAGAAAACTGACATTCAATGCTTCAGATTCCTACAAAAGGAGTCGAGATATTTTTTCCACAAAGACATGCTCAGATGCGAAAAACACAAACAATATTTCACATCAGTGTCTATGATTTTGAAATTCAGGAAACAGAAGCATCTGTCTTGTATGATATTCTCATGACTTTTTTCTTTCAGTCATCTGAAAACATCCACCAGCAAGAAATCCAGCTATTTGATTAGCCATCACAGTTACCACGTTCTCATACAACACAGTCCCCGCCGCCGATGATGTGAAATATAACTCTTGGATCAATTACTGCAACATTGTCTTGTCGAGAGGAATCAAGCCAGCGAGAGGCTGTATTGGTGTTTCGCAGTTGAGCGGAAGGAACTGGAGACTAATGAAGTGTTGAGTAAACTCGCTCTCCAAACTCACATCTTCAGATGTTGTCCGCATCACAGAGACTGAAACAGTCTTTGTTGCGTTCCTGTTTGTCGTGTTCCATTGAAAACAGCGTAGCTGCCGGGCTCTGTGGAACTCAGTCACTGTGTCACAAAAACACAAATATATTTAGCTGTTGCAGAACCAACTTCTTTTTTATGCTAATAAATTCCCTTTCTATCTGACTCTGTCTAGCTGTTACATAACATTTCTAGCTGTTATGTAATCTTTCCAGCTTTTATGTAACCCTTTAGCTCAGTGGAGCTTTTGTAGTAGGTATATAACCTTACTAGCTGTTATATATATATATATAACTTTTCTGGCTGTCATTTAACCTTCATGTAATCATTTTTGCTGTTATAGAATCTATCTAGCAAATGTTTAACCTTTCTAGCTTTTATGTCACCTAAATCAAATCTTCAGTTATATAACCCTTTTAGTCATTATATAACATTTCTAGCTGTGATATAATCATTTTAGCTGTTATGTAATCTTTCTAGCTGTCATGTAATCTTTCTAGCTGTTATACACTCTTTTTGGTCGGTATGTAAACTTTCTAGTCATTGACTAAACTTTCTAGCTGTTATATCACCTTTTAGCTATTATATTATAACCAGTTCACCTGTTATGTAAACTTTGTAGCCATAATGCAACATTTCCAGCTGTTATGTAACCTTTCAAACTGTTATGGAACTTTTTGGCTGTTATGCAACCTTTACAGCTGTTATGTAACATTTATGTGATGATTCTAGCTGTTATGTAATCTATCTAGCAATTGTGTAACCTTTCTAGCTTTTATAGAAACTTTCCAGCTTTTAAAATATAACCTTTTAGATGTTTTATATCCTTTTAGCTCTTATGTAACCTTATCTTCACATTTTCTCAGTGAAATCATCCACCCTTAGCTGCCACCCATCTGACATCATCCACCCTTACCTGCCACCCATCTGACATCATCCACCCTTACCTGCCACCCATCTGACATCATCCACCCTTACCTGCCACCCATCTGACATCATCCTCCCTTACCTGCCACCCATCTGACATCATCCACCCTTACCTGCCACCCATCTGACATCATCCACCCCTGCCACCCATCTGACCATGCCACCCATCTGACATCATCCACCCTTACCTGCCACCCATCTGACATCATCCACCCTTACCTGCCACCCATCTGACATCATCCACCCTTACCTGCCACCCATCTGACATCATCCACCCTTACCTGCCACCCATCTGACATCATCCACCCTTACCTGCATCACACCATCTGACATCATCCACCCTTACCTGCCATCCATCTGACATCAATCACATCATCTTTTCACCATTATCTGTCCAATTTTCGCAATAAACCATCATTACATTTTCTCAGTGAAAACATCCAGGTCACCATCACCCAATCAACATTATCATTAGAATTTCTTAATGAAATCATCCACCCTTTACTCCCATATAACAAGCAGCATCATTACATTTTGTCAGTGAAAACCATCCAGGTCACCATCAACATTATCATTAGACTTTCTTCATGAACCATTACCCTCATTACTCAAAACATATCCAAAACCACTACCACTCTCTAGAAACTTAACACCAAGTTCATCAGCATGGTTCTACCCTTCAAACTCAACATGGCTACATATCTGCCCTAAGGCACATCCTTACCAGACCTTGTAAACGCCACAGCTATAAAGGCGATGCATGCCAGGAAGAGCAATGTACACACAGCCATCAGATACTTCTCTCTGCTCGTCCACCACGATCCCGGCACTTCCTGCACCGAATCCCGGGGTAGGAACCCGAGCAAAGTCGGGTCGTCCCCCTTCTCCACATCTTTCCCCACCATGCCTTTGGTGTGATTCGAGGTCATTACACATCCTGTGCCACCATTGCACTTGTCCTGAGATCTGAGGTTGCACCCTGTTGGCATGGTTGAAGGCCTTTTGGAACGTCACACCGTCGTCAAAATCATCAAGGTCATCTATGGACTTGTATTTATCCAACTGTGTGGTATCACTTTTACCAAATCAAATCACTCTTCAGAAGGGTAGCCATTGAAAAGTCTCATCTCAGTGTTTGGGTTTTCTACGGACGACTCTTGCAGGTCCGATGATGTAACAGAATGTCCTGTCCCAAAGGAAGAACACGAAATTTTTATGATCAGTAATCACAGATTTTCACTTATCACATGTGATCAGAAATCACAGATTTGATTTCGCACTTTTATCAGTTGTTTTAAAGTTTCACCATAAAACGTGTCTTGTTCATTCTTTTGTTGCACGTTCAGCATTCTTCTGTTTCAAGTTGCATTATGAAAGCACAACAAAACACATCTTGGAAGGTTATCCAAAGTTTGTCAATGTATAAAGGTCATCATTAAACAAGCTTGGCCAAGGCAAACCTAAAGCCTGGTATTAAATTTTCAATGTAAGGAAGCCTTAGAAACATGGACGCTTGTCATGAGGTCCCGGAATTGCTTGAAACACAACTCTTGTAAAAGATATCCAAAGCACTATTATTTCAATTGTGTTCCTTAGAAAGCATCCACTTCGTAACCACACAAAGAATAAAACTAGTATCAATGTAGGTAGCTGTTAACTTGATTCCTCATGAATACAAAATCCACAGGTGTTGCAATAAATGTGCTCTGAATCTGATGAGCATTTGCAGATTTGTCATCCAATATAATGCACCTTTCTGTGCACAAATCACTTCACAGTCAACACAGTTTAGCTGGGATGTTTTCAGTTGGCCACCTTTGCAATGCTTCTGAATCTCCACATATATAATCTTGAAAATCTTTAACAAAGATTGTGTCTCGGAGAAGCCTTGAATGTGTTTGGCATGTTCCCATCAAACAATCCCAAACCAAATCCTCCCTGGTTGCTGAATCCCACCATGAAATATAATTCCAGCTCCTGGTGAGAATATTGTATGACAAGCGCTGATGTTCGGTGATCCCTCCATGATAAATCTGGGATGAATGGCATTTGGGTGAACCAACCGTTATCAAATTGTGGCATCAGACGGCTTCAGCTCCATATCTGAAGAAAAACAAGAAAAACAATGTCTAGCTTTAGGGCATAATTACAGTAAACAAGGCTACAGCAAGGGTTGTTAATACTGTACTTAATACTGCATGGAGATGGGAGTCTACACCTCACCGACCCCCACATCTATCGCTTCTGCTGTCCTGCAACATTGTTGACAGCATCGTCGACAATGCACCACGGGCTGAGCTGCAATCAATTAAGTCTTACCTTTGTCTGTATTCATTACAAGCAACTGCACTCGTGACGAGGCTTACACACAAGACAAAGGGTTACATGGACAGATACTGGTGATACATTAGGTTGGACATCTGATGGCGGTATAACACTAGTCAGTATACACTTGGAGCAAGGTATACATTGTGATAACATTGGTCATTTCACACTGAAAGCTGGTGCTACATTGTTACATATCTGATGTTGGTATGTAGCAAGGTATACATTGTTACATATCTGATGGCGGTGTGACACAGGTCAGAGCCACTGAAAGTTAGTAATAAATTGTGTTAACACATGTCAGTACATACTGAAAGCTGTGTATACATTATGTCAGTTAAAACTTGATATACATTGTGTTATATTTCTGATTGTGGTATTAGAACATTGTGTTACGTATGTGATGGTGGTATAACACCTCAGAGTACACTCCCAAAGCTGCTTCTTATACATTCTGTTGAAGATATAAAGTGGCATAACAATAGTCCGTACACACAAAGAGAAAGTTGAATACACTGTGTTATAAAGTCCAGTGACGGCAGTGTAGCAGGGCGTGGAGTCATCCCACAGATGACATCCTTACCTTGTCAGCTTGCTGACGGGATTAACCTCTTTGGTCATGTGGACAAGGTGTTAGTGTTTCGAATCCCAGCATGGGACTCAGAAATTTTATGGCTGCTACATTGGCGCCCAATATGGGGCTGAGCACATGCATATGAAATTTTAGCAAAATAAGTCTCAGTACCCTCCTATGTGGCTCAGGGCATGCCTTCTGTTCACAGGGGTGTACCGGTATGTAGCAAGGCGTAGAGTCATCCCCACAGATGACATCCCCAGATAGCATTCGGACGTTGGCCCAACGTTGGCAATGATGGCAAAACCATTTCCAACATTGGGCCAACGTATGAATGCTACACTCTGGTGTCCCAGAATTGCTGGAATATTGCTAAAAGTGGCATAAAACCAATCTCACTCCTGTGTTATCCCGCCATGACTGGACAGATACACCATGGCATGTCATTGTATAATTAGCTGTCATTGCTTGCTACCCTGGGTTATGCTGCTATCGCAAGACATACACAACACGTACACAACACACAACAAGTACACAACACTTACACACACCTGCAGTACTGTAGAGACAGTCAGTACACCACATGAACAGTCTAAGCTGTGGAGCCGCCGAGAACTCATCGACCAACACAGACATAAACAAGGTACTCATATTCTTCAGAATCACAAATCACGTACATCAAAGGTTATTTATTCGTCCTGAAGTAATATTATTGAGGTAATTATTCCCATATCCAAAGACTTTGATCACATTCAGGGTCAGACAGCGCGGCTGCTGGCAGAGAATGGGTCCAAAGGGAATACAAGATGTGGTTGTTCATGGGGGTATATAAAGCACAGCTGCTTATATCAGGGATGTCTCACAGATATAGGTCACTGTGTCACTGCTGGGGAGGAGGACTGGGTCACAACTAACGGAAAAACCGTTCTCATGTCACCTGTAATACACGCTTGATCAATTACAAAAGTGACTTAACTAAGTCTTGACTAATTATTACATCAAGAAGTGAGTGATAATCCTTGATTAATTACAACATAGTAGCAACTGGCATTGACTAATTCTCTTTTCAGAGGTGACAAGCCTTGATTAGTTACTGTACAGAGGACTTGCTTGATACTGAAATGACTAGCCTTGATAAATGACTACACAGGTGACAAGCCTTGATTAGTTACTGTACAGAGGTGATACTGAAATGACTAGCCTTGATAAATGACTACACAGGTGACTAGCCTTGATTAGTTACTGTACAGAAGTGATACTGAAATGACTAGCCTTGATAAATGACTACACAGGTGACTAGCCTTGACTAGTTACTACACAAGTAACTAGCCTTGATTAGTTACTACACAGGTGACTAGCCTTGATTAGTTACTACACTGGTGACTTGCATTGATTAGTTACTACACGGGTGACTTGCCTTGATTAGTTACTACACAGGAGACTAGCCTTGACTAGTTACTACACGGGTGACAAGCCTTGATTAGTTACTACACAGGTGACTAGCCTTGATGACAAGCTACACTTGATTAGTTACTTACACAGGTGACTTGCCTTGATCAGTTACTACACAGGTGACTTGCCTTGATTAGTTACTACACAGGTGACTAGCCTTGACTAGTTACTACACGGGTTAGCCTTGATTAGTTACTACAGGGTGACTAGTTACTACTTGACTTGCCTTGAGTTACTACACGGGTGACTAGCCTTGATTAGTTACTACACAGGTGACTAGCCTTGACTAGTTACTACACATGTGACTTGCCTTGATCAGTTACTACACAGGTGACTTGCCTTGATTAGTTACTACACAGGTGACTAGCCTTGATTAGTTACTACACAGGTGACTAGCCTTGACTAGTTACTACACCCTTGACTAGTTGACAAGCCTTGATTAGTTACTACACAGGTGTGACAAGCCTTGACTAGTTACTACACAGGTGACTTGCCTTGATTAGTTACTACACAGGTGACTTGCCTTGATTGATTAGTTACTACCTTGATTAAATTACTACACAGCCTTGCCTTGATTAGTTACTACACAGGTGACTAGCCTTGACTAGTTACTACACAGGTGACTAGCCTTGATTAGTTACTACACAGGTGACTTGCCTTGATTAGTTACTACACAGGTGACTAGTTACTACACAGGTGACTAGCCTTGACTAGTTACTACACAGGTGACTTGCCTTGATTAGTTACTACACAGGTGACTTGCCTTGATTAGTTACTACACAGGTGACTTGCCTTGATTAGTTACTACACAGGTGACTAGCCTTGACTAGTTACTACACAGGTGACTTGCCTTGATTAGTTACTACACAGGTGACTAGCCTTGATTAGTTACTACACAGGTGACTTGCCTTGATTAGTTACTACACAGGTGACTTGCCTTGAATAGTTACTACACAGGTGACTAGCCTTGATTAGTTACTACACAGGTGACTTGCCTTGAATAGTTACTACACAGGAGACTAGCCTTGACTAGTTACTACACAGATGACTTGCCTTAATTAGTTACTTCACAGGTGACAAGCCTTGATTAGTTACTACACAGGTGACTTGCCTTGATTAGTTACTACACAGGTGACTAGCCTTGATTAGTTACTACACAGGTGACAAGTCTTGATTAATTACTTCACAGGTGACAAACAGTGACTAATTACTACACAGGTGACAAACAGTCACTAATTACTATATACATAGGTAACATTATCTTAGCCTTGAATAAGTATCATACAGAGGCAACATGTCTTGAAAAATTCTCCAGCTCATGCTGGATGCAAGCATCACTTTGTGAGACCCCATAGTATGGTGATTATATAACTGAATGTCAAACCTCCTTTTCTCACATGTATCAATAACTTGAACATCCTGGCTCATGATAAAAATACAAATAAATTTGCATGTTTTCATTGAAATTCGAGATAAAAACGCATGGTGCTATCTCATGCTTTGGATGCAGTCCCATTGTATACTTTACTGGAGATTTTTCTTGAAGTTGGCATTGTCACATTAACAGTTTTGAGAAGAAGTTCATCAAGTTTATTTTGTAATATGTCTGACATTGCCGTAAAAGTGAAGAACACCTTCACCAAACTGTTCAACAAATCATGTACCTATCTTTTAATACTGACTGACTGACTGAGTTTGGTTTTACGCCGCTTTTAGCAATATTCCAGCAACATCAGGGCGGGGGACACCAGAAATGGGCTTCATACATTGTACCCATGTGGGGATTTGAACCGGGGTCTTCGGCGTGAGGAGCCAATGCTTTAACCACTAGACTACCCCACGGCCCCATCTTTTAATAGGTACAGAATTGTGGATGCAAATTTCTGTAATATGAAGAGCATGATGTTAGATAATGAAGCGGAGAAAGAATTTACTCCGAAACGATGTGATCCTCACATTACAGAAGTTGACATCCATATATTTTCACCTGTAATGGTATCACATCTAAATGCCACTCAAAGAGTTTACTTTTGAGAAATGGTGCTCTTTTTTTACTAGGAACTTTGTCAGTAGACTTGAGTAAAAACATGGCAACCATTCCTAGTTACATCAAAAAGTGGTTACATCAAAAAGTGGTGTCAAAGTGGAATTCAAGGATTGAAATGTGTGTAATGCTACTCACAGCATCCAAGCTGTGCTTCAACAAGCTTGAGATGAAAGCAGCATTTTGTAAAGTTTTTCTCAAGTAGACAGACTGAAAATAGATTCCTGTTATGACTAATTTAATAAGGTGCTTGTACATTGTACATGATTTGTTACAACTGTTTCAATAATTCCTGGAGAATTCCGTTTCAATTTGTTAGCGCATATTTGCATGTATTTTCTTAATTTCTCATGCATGAAATCATACTGCTATGTATCTATGATCTGTTACTTGATCTGCCATGTATGTACCTTGTTATCTGAAATATAACTGGATATATAAGTTTTAAGTGAGTGAGTGAGTTTAGTTTTACATTGCTTTTAGCAATATTCCAGCTATATCACCGCAGGGGACACCAGAATTGGGCTTCACACATTGTACCCATGTGTGGAATCGAACCCGGGTCTTTGGCTTGACTAGCGAATGCTTTAACCACGAGGCTACCCCACTGCCCCTATAGACTTTAAATGCAGCCCGGAAAGGTTCCAGACAATGGGTTTTCGAATGTGTTGTGTTTACTTAGATTTCACCAAAGCTTTTGACAACATC